TTTTTCCATCAGCCCATGCTGAGCCCACTGCGCAGGACCTGATTCGTGAGATGGGTCTGTTGGAACTGGCGCAGACCCTGGCTGTGACCACCCAATCAGATTGTCTGATTTCGCCCGCCGAGGATACATCGGACTGGCGTGCTCAGAGCACACTGGCCTGTCTTGGGTTGAGTGGTGCAGCAGATACAGTGCTTGAGCGCTGGCACAATCATCCGGTTTACGGACGCTTGAGAGACCCCGGCACACCGCCCTGGTTGCGCGAGCGCGCAGCGGATGTGCGTGATTTTGAGGTGCTGTTAGGCGCTGTTATGGTTGCTGGTTTGAGCACGGGTTACAATATTGTGCCGCAGTTTTTGTGGCCTGAGTTCGATCCTGAAACTACGGTTATTTATAGTCATTCAGACTGGCAGCATGCCCGCCAGTTAGTGGCGCTGTTGGCACTGCATGGACTGACACCTGATGTAACCCCACTGGTGAAGCAGTCCAAATTTCTGTTCCGGGATGAATGGGGTGAGCCCGAGCGTGAATTGCCGCGTCTTGCTAATGGTCAACGGGTTGTCGATCAGCTTGAGTTCGAATTGTTTCTGCATTTTGAAGGGCCAGAGCAGATTGAAAGGTTTGGTGAGCTCGTAACGCAATATGCAAAACGCGACAGTGAAGACGAGGAAGGGTTGCTGCACGGTTCCTGGTGGCAGCCGTTTTATCGGACGTTTGAGCCTAGTGAGCAGTATCACCGTTTAGTTGTCATGCTGGTCAGCTACAAAGGGTTTCGTGTGAATCTGTTGTCTTTGCCTGATCAGGCAGAGGACCGGTTAACCAAGCTCCGTGCGCTGAGCGATGAGTGGCAGGTAATGCCTTACGACATCTGGGTGAATCCCGCCTTTTATCGTTTTCAGTTGGGTGATTACCGTTAGAGTTGTGCTTACCAGTACAAAATCTTCTGTGCGGCAAAGGTCACAAAACCGATCACACTGATGCTGAAAATCAGAATCATCGCCAGGATGTAGTGACCCACATGCAGCTGACCAAAAACGTTGTACATAACCAAGACGGTCGCGCACAAGCCCAGGCCGTACGAAACGATCATGTGCACATAACCGGCCTCTTTAAACTCTTGTTGGCTGAGCTGTAGGGTCAAGGCGCCCATGATGAAAAAGTTTGTCGCGCCTAATGCCAGCAAGAGAGCACTCGACCACCACCAAAGTGAATCCCCGGTATAGCCATAGTTGTAGAATATGATTGGAATCAGCGCGCTTAAGGTTGCCACGATACTGCCGATCATGATTGAGGCTGCGTGGTGAGCGTTGACTCTCGATTTCTGCTCTCCGCCAATCAGGAAAATGATAAATATCGATACGAAGCCGGTTAAGACCAGGGATAGCTGCGCGAAACCGATTAGAAATTCCTGTTGTTCCATGGTCTAAAAACGATCCGTTGGATAAGGCCCATCTGAGAAAACAGTGTCGTGATAACCCTTAATCCCTATGGTCCGGGCTAACGGACTTCTGAAGTCCTGATCTTTGCTGAGCTTGTCTATAGCATGTTCGAAAGTAAACACCGGCTTCCATCCGAGTTGATTCAGTGCATGAGTATTATCATAGACGCGATCCAGAGTTGGAAACATCTTCCAGTTGCGGCGTTGGTATTGCGCGGCGTACTGCGGCACATGTTTCTGTACCACCGCTGCTGCGTCTACCGCCAGTTCGCTGTTGTCACTGCGTTGAAAAGGCGTTGTGCCCGAGATAATAAAGCGGTCGAAACCGATTTCTTCTGCTTTGCGGATTGCCAGCTGATGCGCGCTGACAATATCAGCGATGTCCGCTCGCCGGAAAAGAAGTTCATTCACTTTGAGATTGTCATCATCAAAATGCGCACGCTGCTGTGGTGCGTCGTCCTCTTCGAGGAAAAAACGTGAGGTCTTGAGCACAATACAGGCAAGCGCCGTGTTGCGGTGGAATAACTCGCAAAGATCTTCGGCAGCGGTTTTGCTGACACCATAGATGTTCTTCGGCTTCGGTTGCAGGTTTTCCGTGACCCAGACTGCGGGCTGGCCCGGGGCAGGACGCATGGCATCACCAAAGGTACTGGTTGTACTGGTGTAAATGAAGGAGCCGCAGCCCTGACTGAGGGCTTCTTCCAGCAGATTCAGTGTGCCGGTGATGTTGGTATCAATAAAATCCTGGCGGCTATGTGTACCGACGTGAGGCTTATGCAGGGTTGCAGTGTGGACGATGGCGTCGCACCCGGTGACACATCTGCTGACAAACGATCTGTCAGTAACAGAGCCCACGTGATCGGTGAATTCTGAATCTTTTATGTCCAGTCCGATCGGACGATCACCTGAAGCTCGTAGCGAGCGCATCAGTGCTTCGCCTAAATGCCCCGCACTACCTGTCACCAGTATTTTCATGGGTGGTATGTTGGCCGATCTGTTAATCAGCTGTCCAGGGTGCGGCCAATGAGTTCTTTCATGATCTCGTTGGTGCCACCGTAGATCTTCTGCACCCGGGCATCTTTGTACATCCGCGAGATGGGATACTCGTCCATGTAACCCGCGCCGCCGTGCAGCTGTAAACATTCATCAACAATTTCGCACTGTTTCTGTGTGCACCAGTATTTAGCCATTGAGGCTGTGGCTGCATCCAGTTCGCCACGCATATGTTTGAGTAGACATTGATCAACAAACGTGCGGGCAATCAGTGCTTCAGTCTTGCACTCTGCAAGTTTGAACTTGGTGTTCTGAAAGTCCAGTACCCGTTGGCCAAACGCTTTTCGTTCTTTGACAAAGTCGATGGTCACCTGCAGGGCGCGCTCCATTTCGACGACCGCTGCTTGTGCAATATTGAGGCGTTCCTGTGGGAGTTGCTGCATGAGCTGAATGAAGCCTTTGCCCTCTTCTCCACCAAGCAGATTGCTCTGCGGTACGCGGCAGTCTTCAAAAAACATTTCCGACGTGTCGGCGGCACTCTGCCCTAGTTTTTTCAGATTACGTCCGCGTTTGAAGCCAGGATTGTCACACTCCACAACGACCAACGAGATGCCTTTGGCGCCTTTACTGGGGTCTGTTTTGGCTACCACAATGACCAGGCCACAATTCTGGCCGTTGCTGATATAGGTTTTCGAGCCGTTGATGATGTAATCATCACCATCTTTAATGGCGGTGGTTTTCACGCTCTGCAAATCTGAACCTGTGTTGGGTTCGGTCATGGCAATGGCGCCAATGGTTTCGCCACTGGCCATTTTGGGAAGCCAGCGAGTCTTCTGCTCTTCACTGCCATAGTGCCAGATGTAAGGCGCGACAATCTGGCTGTGCACCTGGTTACCAAAGCCAACCAGGCCGGCGCGCAGCTGTTCTTCGGTGATCACGGTTTCGTGCAGATAGCTTGCACCACCACCACCATATTCGGTGGGGATCTCTGCACACAGCAGGCCAGCTTGTCCAGCTTGTCGCCAGGCGTCAGCACTGACTTGTCCATCTGCTTCCCATTGGTCATTGCGGGGTACAAATTCGTCGTTAAAGAACTTCCGCGCGGCGTCCTGCAGAATTCTCAGCTCTTCGTTCAGCCAGGGGGATTCGTAGTTTTCAAAAATAGCGGTCATTTAGACTCCAGGAAATGTGGGTGAATCAGGGTAAGCCGGCAGCGGGGAAGGGGGCGTCGTATACTTCGACGCGCGCATCACGCTGGTTGCGGCATTTGTCCGGATGGGAGGAGGAAGAGGTCAGGACGTAGAGTTTGTCCTCACCAATCATGCAGGCAAAGGCGCCTCTGGTCAGTGAAATTTCATGTGTAATCGCGCCACCTTCGACCTGTCGAATACAGTTGTTGGTGGTAGGTGAGGCGCTCCATATGCCGTGCTCCTCATCCAGACATATCCCATCTGGAACGGCTTTTTCAGGCAGCTCGGCCCATACCCGTTTGCCGCTCAAGCTGCCGTCGGCGGCAATGTCGAATGCGGTCAGGCGAGAGGCAAAAGTTTCAGCTACGACCAGAGTTTTGCCATCGTCGGTGATTATGGCGCCGTTCGGAAACATCAGATCATCATCTTCGACATGACAGGCGCCGTCCGGGTCAACGCGGATCAGTTGTGCCGGTTTTGGTTTGTCGTTGTTGTGCAGGTCAAAACCAAAGTTGCCAACATAAGCGCGCCCCTGTTGGTCTACCACCATGTCGTTGCAGATGCCGGATGCGAGGTGTGCCAGGTCAGCATGTACGCTCAATGACCCGCCGTCCAATCTGAGCAGCTGTTTTTTATTCATGCTGACAATCAGCAGGGTCCCGTCCGGTAACCAGCCTAAACCGGAAGGTTGATCGTCGGCCAGAGTAACTACGCTGGTGCGCACACCCTCTGGCGTTACTTTCAAGACCTCCTGACCATGCATATCGGACAGCCATAAGGCTCCTTCGCGAAAACGCGGTCCTTCACCGAAACACAGCCCGTCTATCAAGATTTGGGGAGGCACAGCTCACTCCGTCAGGAAAAACACCAGTTTATGGTGTTTTACAGCTCTTTTACCAATATCTTCCGCTCTAGCGCTTGGTTCATCTGCACGCTCCCTTTATAGTTTTGCGGTGTCGACAATATATGTTGGCTACACCATAAGGAGAATTTTGAATGTATTTATTAAAGAGACTGGGTTGGGTTGTGCTGCTGGCAGGATTAGTGGCTTGTGGCCAGTCGAATAGCGGCGCAAATGATGCTTCTGAAGCTGGTTCCAACATGATGGACAGCGCATCGGATGCAATGGAGTCTACTGGTAACATGCTGGATGATGCCGCTGAAAGTGCATCAAGCATGGTTGACGAGGCTGCTGAAAGCGGCGCGGCTATGGTTGATCAGGCGACTGAAGCAGGCGCCGACATGGTAGACGAAGTGAAAGCTATGGGTGCAGATGTCGTTGAGGGCGCTGAAGAAATGGGTGACGATGCAGCAGATGCAGTCAGCGACGCCCTGTCTGAGGGTGCTGAAAAAGTTGACGGCGCTCTGGACGGTTTAACCAACTAAGCTTCCTGCTGATCTACGTTAACGGTCGCAGCGTCTATAGCGGCCAGATCGAGGTTGTCAGCTTTGGCAACCTCGATTAATGCCTGTTCAAATATGCCTCTCGCAGCCGCCGACAGTTCCGCCAGATGCTGATGTAGGACCTTCTCTTTGGGGTCCGTGTCTTCACACTCCCGACAATACTGCTCAAAAGCACCAATGCTCATCAACAGGCTGGCGATGTGATTAGGACATTCACACTGTAACCCTGGCGTCATGGCTGCGATCTGGGCCAGTGTCGCGTCGCTGAAGCGTGCCCGGGCGGCGGGTTGCTCGAGCAGGTCTGAATCAATGGGTTTGGATTGCAACGCACTCATCAATGTCTCTGCTGACATTGGCGCCTGGGTGACGCTGGTGCCACCGAGTTCAAGGTGCCGCAGGCTGGTGCGGTTGGCAAAATTGTAGACGACAATAATTTTTTCGTATGCACTGCGCAATGCAAGCAGACGATCAACATCTTCGGGATTGATCGTCGCCAGTTCTATTACCAGAGCCTGGTGTTGAGTATGTTCAGGCTGGCTCAGCCACTCATCGCCACTGCAGGCCTGCCGACCAATTTCCTCGAACTGCGCCGCAGGCAGGGCCAGGTGTGCAAGTTTGTGCCCAACCAGCAGTATCGAATCGACAATCGCGTGTTGCGCATCCTGCAGATTATGTGTGTTGGCTAAAGCTTTCAGACCATCCAGATCAAGGGCCGCCAGGTGCGTGAGGCTGTGGCCATTGTCGCTGAGCAAGCGCACAAGACGCAGCAGTTCCACATGTGACATGTCATAGACCCGTCGGCCCGTCGGCGTTCTTTGCGGCGTGCCGATATTGTGGCGGCTTTCCCATTTGCGAAGCGTGTGTGCAGGCACACCGGTGAGTTGTGCTACAGCAGCGATTGTAAGTTGTTCCATGGAGTAGGGTCTTGTCATCGTCTAATGAATGTCTAAGTGTATGGATACACTGGCCGGTGGTGAAGCGAAAATGTGTCGTTATTGTTTGACCAATACTGGACAGTTTCCGTTAGGTTCGACAATTGCGTTCCGAATAGTTAATTAATGTACAGGTTATTGCCCACGATCACAATAAAGTCTAGTATATGTCTTAGTTATAAAGCCAAAAGGCCAATAATGTCCAAGTTAGCAGTAATCATGGGTAATCAGTTGTACGATCCTCAGTGGCTGCCTGATGCTGAGCAGACCACGGTTCTGATGGTTGAAGACCGCCGCTTGTGCACCCGCCACCGATACCACCAGCAGAAGCTCGGGTTTTTGCTGGGCGCGATGCGCGAACACGCCCAAGGGCTCCGCAATGCAGGGTACAAAGTGGTTTACCAGGAACTGGATGCAAATAAAACGTTGTGCCAGCAGACTGTGGCTTTAGCGACCCAGTTGGATGTCGCAGAAATAGTGGCTTTCACTCCGGCCAATGCAGGCCAGCGTCGCTATCTTCAGATAACCGCGCAAAAAGCCGCCAGACCGTTGCGGTTGCTCGATGATCCGATGTTTCTCACGTCCCCGGAGGATCTCGAGTGTCTGGCGTCTGATAATCCACGCATGGCGCATTTTTATCAGGCCCAGCGCAAACGCCTGGATCTGTTAATGGCGGACGACCGCCCGCTGGGTGGGAAGTGGAGCTACGACGGCGACAACCGCAAGGCGGTGCCGAGCCATATTGATTTACCTGAACTCAGCCGGGCCAGACACAGTGACCTGACCTGTGAGGCACTGCGGAGCGTCCGACAGATTTTCGCCGACCATCCAGGCGATGCGGAAAATCTCTGGATTCCGACTACCCGAGAAGGTGCAAAAGCGCAGTTAGGAGAGTTTGTTGCAGAGCGCCTGGTGGGTTTTGGAACTTATGAAGATGCTATCTCAAGACGCTCGGCAACCCTGTTTCATAGCGTATTGTCGCCTTATCTGAACATCGGTCTGCTGACGCCGCAGGAAGTCATCAGTGCGGTGATGGACTATGCGATGTGCCATGACGTTCCCATCAACGATGTCGAAGGTTTTGTTCGGCAGATTATCGGCTGGCGTGAATTCATGCGTGGGATATATGTGCATCATCGCAAAGGCATGCGCAGCGGTAATATCTGGAACGCACAGCGTCGTATGGGGCGCAGCTGGTCAAATGCAGCTACGGGTATCCCGCCCTTAGACGGCGCGCTGAAAAATGCCCAGCGTTATGCCTGGAATCACCATACGGAACGGTTGATGGTGATCGCCAATATGATGAACCTGTGTGAAATCCGACCCGCCGACGCTTATGAGTTTTTCAGCAGCAATTATCTCGATGCCTATGACTGGGTGATGGTGCCTAACTTGTTTGGCATGGGTCTGACCTCAGACGGCGGGACTTTTGCATCCAAGCCTTATATCTGTGGGTCGAACTACATGTTGCGCATGAGTGATTATCTGAAGGGTGAATGGTGTGACGTTGTTGATGGACTGTTCTGGCGGTTTGTTGAAAAGCACCAAACCCTCCTGCGTTGTAATGCACGTGCCAGTTTTATGGTGCAGGGCCTGGGGCGCATGAAACCTGAGCGCCGAGAGCGTATTTTCGCCAGAGCCACACAGTTCCTTGAGCAGAACACCTTATGAATACGCTGATTGTGGGTGCTTCAGGCGGCATTGGCGCAGCGATTTGTCAGGTCGCGCTGGCGGACGAGAAAGTAACGCGTCTGCTGGCCACCAGCCGCAACCCCGACAGCCTGCCAAGGCATAACAAGTTGTTACCAGTGGCTCTGGATCTCTGCGATGCGCAAAGTATTGCGAGCGCCGTAGAGGCGATCCGAGCTGACGTCAGTCAAATCGACCGGCTGATAGTTGCTTCAGGCTTTCTGCATGACGGTGAACGGGCACCGGAAAAAGCGCTGCGCGATCTTGATGGTGCAACCATGCAAACGGTGCTGCAGATAAATGCGGTAGCACCGATGCTGGTTTTTGCGGCGCTCGAACCGCTGCTTAAAAAATCTTCAGAGCCGAAGATCCTGTTTTTATCTGCTCAGGTAGGCAGTATTGGCGACAATCGGTTAGGGGGTTGGTACAGCTACAGAATGGCAAAAGCTGCTCTGAATCAGGGTGTGAAAACTGCTGCAGTAGAAGCGGCTCGTTGGCGAAACAACGCAACGCTTATTGCGGTTCACCCGGGTACAACTTTAACAGCGCTGTCTGAGCCTTTTCTGGCGCGCCGTCAGGGCCAGGTGCAGACGCCCGAGAGCTGTGCAGCGTTGATTTGGCAACTGGCGGAACAGGTTGAGGCAGGGTCCAGCGGTTCGTTTCTGCGCGCCGACGGCACAAATCTGCCCTGGTAGCAGTTTGTGCCGCGGTGCGCGTTTTAACTAAAGATATTTAGCCAGATCTGCACCAATATCTTCGGGTGTCGTCTGTGGCGCGTAACGGGCGAGAACTTCGCCGTCTTTGCCGACCAGGAATTTGGTGAAATTCCAACCAATGTCCGCATTGCCATCGTCACCGGCCTTAGCCGCTTTGAGGTAGTTGTACAGCTCACAAGCGTTGCTGCCATTCACCTCTATTTTGGCAAACATAGGAAAGTTGACATCGTATTTAGACTGGGCAAATTCGAGAATTTCTTCATTGCTGCCTGGTTCCTGGGCACCAAACTGGTTACAGGGAAATCCTAAAACCGTGAAATTCTGATCCGCATATTGTTCCTGTAATGTACGCAACCCGGCGTACTGATTGGTCAGTCCTCAGCGGCTCGCCAGGTTGACGATCAAGCAGATTTTGTCTTTGTATTGCCCGAAAGCAGTGTCCTGACCGCTGATGTCAGCCATGTGCAGGTCGTGAAATTGGCTCATAGATAGTTGCTCCTAGAGTGATTGTCGGAAAATCCCGAGCCCAGCTATGGTAGCGCCGATGCTCTGTTCTGGGTACCATCACGGGGTTTGGGGATAGGACACTAAATCTGTGTGTCTCTATACGGAACAAATTTTGTTGCATCGGCACCCGTTAAGAAGGCGTCTTTAGCAAACATTTCAATACAAGAGAGATACAGGAGAACCACCATGCGCGATGTAGTTATCGTCGACAGTGTGAGAACCGGTCTGGCAAAAGCCTTTCGCGGAAGTTTTAATTTAACCCGTTCGGATGACATGTTGGCGCACTGCATCGACAGTCTGCTCGAGCGTAATGACATTGACCCGGCAGAAGTTGAAGATGTTGTAGTTGGCGCGGCCACCCACACGGGTGAGCAGGACGGCAACCTTGCTCGTCTTGCGGTGATTCTGTCCAAACTGCCCGTCAGTGCGGCAGGTGTCAGCATCAACCGTTTCTGTTCTTCGGGTCTCCAGTCCATCGCGATTGCGGCTAACCAGATTGCATCGGGTCAAACCGATGTGGCAATGGCTGGCGGTGTGGATTCAATTTCCATGCGCACACGTCAGGAGCCTGGCAAAGCTAAGCAGAACAAGCGTCTGTTAGAAGAAAAGCCGGAAATTTTCATGGCCATGGGCAACACCGCTGAGGTTGTTGCGCGTCGTTACCAGGTAACCCGCGAACAGCAGGACGCCTATGCACTGCAGAGCCAGCAGCGTTACGCGGCAGCAGTAGACGCCGGCAAAATTGCTGAAGAAATTGTGCCGATGAAGGCCACGATGCTCAAAGTCGACAAAGAAAGTGGTGAAGAAAGCCATGTAGACGTAGTGGTTGATAAAGACGAATGTAATCGTCCAAACACCACTCTCGAAGGCCTGGCAGGACTGCCTCCGGCATTTGAAGAAGACGGTTCAGTAACTGCGGGTAATGCCTCTCAGTTGTCTGACGGCGCGTCCATGACCCTGCTTATGAGCGCTGAACGCGCTGCTCAACTTGGTCTGCAGCCACTGGGCATCTATCGCGGCTTCACCGTTGCTGGCTGTGAACCTGATGAGATGGGCATTGGTCCAGTATTTGCCATTCCGCGTCTGCTGAAAAATGCAGGTCTGGATCTCGGCGACATCGATTTGTGGGAACTGAATGAAGCATTTGCCTCACAGTGCCTCTACTGCCGTGACGCTCTGGACATTGATAATGAGAAATACAATGTTCTTGGTGGCAGCATCTCTATTGGCCACCCCTTTGGTATGACGGGTTCTCGCCAAACCGGCCTGGTTCTGCGCGAGCTGCGTCGTCGTAATCAGAAGTATGGCGTTGTCACCATGTGTATTGGTGGCGGCCAGGGTGCTGCAGGTTTGTTTGAATCTGCGTAACCGGGCCCGTTAGCCCTCAAAGAAAGCGTCTGCTCAGTCAGGCGCTTTTTTTTTGCTCGTTTAACCCTTGAAAAAATGTTTCCAGCCCCTAGAAATTTTCTACCTCAATTAATGAGGTGACGTAACGCTTCTGTTTTAGAAGCAATTTTTTGTTCATGATTAATTGAATGGAGGTTGTTTTTACTATGGCAACGTTTGATATTTCTCCGCTTTTTCGTTCAAGCACCGTCGGCTTTGATAGAGCTTTGAATCAGCTGAATACGGTGATGAATCTGGATACCCCGGGTTTCCCTGCCTACGATATTTTACGTATGGATGAAGACGATTTTCGGATCAGTTTGGCGGTCCCGGGCTTTAACGAAGAAGACATTACGGTGGAAACTCGTGAAGGTGCCATCTGGATCAAAGGCAATCGTGATGTTGACCTGAATCACAACCGTTATCTGTATCGAGGTGTTGATGTGCAGGGTTTCCAGAGATCTTTCCAGCTGCCCGAACACGTCAAAGTGCGAGGCGCTCGCCTTGAAGCGGGCATGCTGCATATCGATTTATACCGTGAACTTCCGGACGCACTGCGACCTCGTCGCATAGAAATTGCGACTGCCGATGAACATAAATCGGTATTAGAGGATGCATCCAAGGCGGCATAGCTACCTGCAGGTGCGGGGGCGGTACTCGCCCCCGCAAAGTCCGCACCAAAGCCGCTGCAATGCGAATTGAAACATATTGAAACGTTCAGGAAATTGCTGTGTAACAGCGGCTGAGGACAATACCGGGCTGTTTTATGGGGTTTAGCCAGGGCATTTTTCCGCATTCTCTATTTGCTGTAGTATGCAGGTTGCAGATTTTTTTGAAGGTATTCAGTGATTCATTATTTCGGGGTCAGTAACGTAGGTTCAGCAGTCGCAATCTTTGCGCTGATTGCAAGCCATAGCGTGCTGGCTGAAAGTGATGAAGCGCAAGCTGCGCAATCCACCCCACAAGCGCAGTTGTCTGAAGACCAGTTAAGCCAGGGCAGTCTTGCAAAGCGCAGTGATTCCGAATTAACCGCGCTAACCGCCCAGTGGAGTCAACTGAGCCCTGAACAACGCCGCCGACTGCTGGCCGAAGTACGTGGCCGCATGGTCAACAATAACCAGCTGCGCCGCCCTCAGGGTGTCATTGTGCAGCGCAGGTACGGGCGCGTAGTGCGTAAATCGGACGGCTCTGTGGTCCTGCAGACACGGGTGGTTCAAATTACGCCGCGCAACAATCCTGATCAGCAGGCTCAGTCGAACACGCCGCGAGTAACCTTCGGCATAGGCTTTGAACAGCGTACACGAGCGCCTGGCCGCGTCGCCCATGAGGCGCCGCAATCGGAAGCGACACAACCTGTTGTTACGGTCGGTCAAGAATCCTCCGCAAGCGCCAACCGCTGACGCAGTATGGATGCCGAAAGTGCCAACCTGCTGGTTGTCGATGATGACCCGGAACTGCGTGAACTCATCCAGGCATACTTAGAGCAGCAAGGCTTTCAAGTCGCCTGCGTCGAATCCGGTGAAGCCATGGACAGGTATCTGGTTGAGCATGAAGTTGACCTGCTGATCTTAGATCTGATGTTGCCCGGTGAACACGGTCTGTCTATCGCTCAGCGGATGAAAAAACACTCCGACCTGCCCATTATCATCGTTTCAGCGCAGGGCGAAGATGTGGACCGAATTGTCGGCCTGGAAGTGGGGGCTGATGATTATCTGTCCAAACCGTTTAATCCTCGCGAGCTGCTCGCCCGTGTGCGTGCGGTTCTGCGCCGTTCGTCCTCATCGGGTGCCGGAGCAGAAGAAGTCGCTGCCACAGAATTTGGCGTGTTTGCGTTAGATACAAACGCCCATCGGCTTACCAAAAATGGTGATACGGTGCCATTAACTTCTGGCGAATTTGATCTGTTGTCAATTTTGGTGGCCCATCCGAATAAAGTCCTCGACCGGGATCGAATTCTTGATCTGCTGACGGGCGCTGAGCGCTCACCCTTTGATCGCTCTATTGATGTACGCGTCACGCGTTTACGCTCAAAGATTGAACCTGACCCAACCCAGCCGGTCTACATCCGGACCATCTGGGGCAAAGGGTATATGTTCTGCCCGGCAGGCAATGGCTGACAGTTCTGGCCTGCGTGGCCCGTCTTCCCTGCTGGTCCGCACAACCCTCATTCTGGCAGTTGGCGCTCTGCTGATTGTTGTTATTGCAACGTTTGCCCTTTATCTGTTTGTGATCAGTCCCATAACCGAGCAGTCGGCTGATGATGAAGCTGCTCTGCTGGTATTATCTGCTCAGACCTGGGTGGAGCTGCCGCCGGAGGCGCGGCCCTATTTCGAACTCGAAATGGCGGAAAGCCATGATCTGATTATCAGTGAGGCCCATCAGGCACTGCCGGAAGTGGCCGGATATTCACAATATTTCGAATTATTGAAAACGGAGCTGTCTCTGCGCATAGGCGAAGAGGTTGTGCTGCTTGAAGGTGACGATCTGCTCTGGGTAGATGTACCCATGGGTGGGTTTGCCTTACAGATCGGGTTTTCTCCCGAGCGTCGGGAAATTCAGCCACTTTATGTTGCCATGGTGATTGTCGGGCTGGGCGCGGGCATTGTCTTTTTCACCTCGCTGTTTATCGTGCGTCGGATTGCGCGGCCGCTGGTCAATGTTGCGCGACAAGCGGAAAGCTTTCGCGGTGCAACGCAGATTGAGCCCCTGCCGGAAACAGGTCCAAGAGAGCTTGTTTCTCTGGCGCGTAACTTCAATATCATGGCATCTGAAATTGGTTTGCTGCTCACGAACAGAACCACGTTGCTGGCCGGAATATCTCATGATCTGCGCACCCCGCTGACACGCATGCGCCTGGCGCTGGCGTTGCTGCCGGACAATGTAGATCCCCAGCTGGTCAGTCGCTTCGAACGTAATCTGGAATCCATGGATGAGTTGATCAGCGATGCCCTGAGGTTTGCGCGTGGCACCGGAGAAGTGCCGCAGGAAATTGAGCTGCTGCCGTTTGTGCAGGAAATTCTCGCCACCTTTGAGCGGAACATTACAGCAGACCTGCGTATCCCTGGTGAATTCAGGATAAAACTTCCGCCCAGTGCGTTCCGGCGGGTTTTGATCAATTTGATTGCCAACGGTTTTCAGCATGGCGGTAACGTCTCAGTGGTTGCCACCACCAACGAGATACAGGTGATCGACGACGGACCTGGAATACCGGAGGAGTTTCGCGAACAGGTGTTCCAGCCCTTTTTCCGTCTGGATAGTTCACGTAGTGCAACCACCGGTGGTAGCGGCCTGGGATTGGCCATTGTGCAGCAGCTGTGTCAGGCGCATCAGTGGCATGTGGGTATTGATAATGGTCCGCACGGTGGTGCTCGGGTGACCTTGAAATTTGTATCAGCAGCTTGAAACAAAATGTCACAAAAACGGCAGGCTTAGACATTCTCTTGAAACGTCTTTGCCGCATAGTAGGCAACATCACCCAACGGTGATGTCTATCCCCTTAAGATCTCTGTTTTGGGTAACGACCCTGAGATCCTCTTGAAACCGCCAGCTTCCTCTCCAGGCTGGCGGTTTTCTTTTTTACGGCAGGCGGCTTTATCCCACCTGATGCATATGCACATCCTGTTGTGGGTACGGAATAGATATGTTTTCCGCATCGAAGCGCAGTTTCACCGCCTCCATGGTGTCAAAGTACACGCCCCAGTAATCGCTGGACTTGGTCCATACGCGACAGGTGAAGTTAACTGAGCTGTCTGCCAGTTCAGACAGAACCACAAAAGGCTCCGGGTCTGAGAAAACGCGCTCGTCTTCAGCGAAGATGGCTTTCAACGTTGCTTTAGTTTTTGCAATGTCGTCGTTGTAGCCAATGCCGAATACAAAGTCCACACGCCGCGTCTCTTCAGCTGAAAAGTTGGTGATGATGCCGTTCGAAATCGAGCCGTTCGGCACGATAATAACCTTGTTGTCAGGCGTCTTGATGATCGTATTGAAGATCTGAATGGCTGACACGGTGCCGGCCACACCCTGTGCGTCAACAAAGTCACCGACCTTGTAAGGGCGGAACATAAGGATGAGCACGCCACCGGCAAAGTTTGCCAGGCTACCCTGTAGTGCCAGGCCAATAGCCAGACCAGCCGCACCTAAAATGGCAATAAAGGATGTGGTCTCGATACCCACCATGCTGGCGACGCTGATGAACAGCAGTGCTTTCAGAATGATTGAAGTAAGGCTACCCAGAAACTTGGCTAAGGTAGGGTCGGTTTTGCTGGCATTCAGACCTTTATTAACAACATTGACTACCCGCTTGATGACCCACAGGCCCACCAGCAGAACAACGATAGAAAGTATAAGTTTCGGCCCGTACTGTATGGCCATCTCAACGGCCTGGTCGATATAACCCTGTATGCGGTCAGCCGACAGCTCCTCTGGAATAACTTCCATTATGTGTCTCCAAATTTAGTTTTTTTCTTATTAACATAAGTACTGGACGCTAGTGTGTAACATTGAGTAATGTTGCGCGCCCGCAGGGTAGTGGATTTTACACGGGTTTTAAAATCCGGGTATACAGCTTTCGAAGCATCCCGTACCCTGCGCGAATTCTTATAAAGGAAACACTGATGAAAAGTTTTTTGATGTTGGCAATCACTCTGCTCTGGACAGCGAATGTTCTGGCCGATGGCCACAACAATCCTCACAAGGGGCAGTTTTACTTATCACCTGGCGCTATTGCTTATACAGGACCGGACTCCTCCAATATCGGTTATGAAGATACCGAAGTGGGTGGTGCGCTGATTCTGGGTTACGGGCTTTCGGACAACTGGTCTGTAGAAGTCATGGCCGGCAGGGTTGAAGATGCTGGATTTGATAACCGTTACGGATCAGGGGAAGACGAGGTCAATCTGCGTTGGTTGGACTTCGTTTATAATTTGCCGGCAAAAAATGCCTGGCAGCCCTTCATGCTGGTTGGCGGTGGCCGAACTGAGTACGACATGGACGGAGTTCGTCCGGATGCGCGTGATAACCAGTTGAATGTCGGCGTTGGTGTTTACCGCCAGTTAAGCGATCACATCTCGCTGCGTGCAGATGTGCGCGGTGTCAGCAGCTCTAAAGTAGGTGGTCTTGAGCCGTTTGCATTTCTGGGTCTGACCGGATTTATCGGTTCCCCCGCCGCACCTGCTGCGCCTGCTGACTCAGATGGCGATGGCGTACCAAACGATATGGACAACTGTCCTACCACACCTGCTGGTCGTGTGGTTGACGCTCAAGGCTGTGAGCTGGATGCGGACAACGACGGTGTTGTCGATGGCGCGGATCAGTGTCCTGATACACCAGCTGGTGTTTCCGTTGATCAGAACGGTTGTCCTCTAGACGCCGACGGTGACGGTGTACCGGATTTCCGTGACGACTGTCCTGATTCTGAAGCGGGTGCCAAAGTTAATGACCGTGGTTGTTACATTGAACTCGAAGAAGAAGTCACGATTGACATGAGTATCGAGTTTGAGACAAACAAAGCGCAGCTGCGCCCTGATCACACCAGTGAATTGGCACGTGCGGTACGTTTCCTGCGTCAGTATCCGAACACCAAAGCGGTCATCGAAGGCCACACGGATACCGATGGTGCGGCGTCTTACAACCAGAATCTGTCAGAGCAGCGAGCCAAAGCGGTTTACGAGTATCTCGTCAACGAAGCGGGTGTTGATGCGAGCCGTCTGACCTGGGCTGGCTTCGGAGAGACACGGCCGATTGCGTCTAACGACACAGCAGCAGGTAAGCAAACAAACCGTCGTGTCAGCGCGGTTGTGTCTGGTACTCATAAGGTTCGCCAGTAACGGCGGACCTTGAGAGGTCTCGGAGGTAATGATGCAACGCGTTCTTATTCTCTGCTGCATACTGCTCTTAGGCGCTTGTGAAAGCGCCTATTACGGTGTGCAGGAGCAGTTTGGTAACCTTAAAAACGACATTCTGGTCGACCGCGTTGAAGACGCAATGGAAGCCCAGGAAGATGCCAAAGAAGAATTCAAGAGCGCTTTGGAACAGTTTGAGGCTGTTGTTGGTGTACCGGAATCGCAGCTGAAAACGGTTTACAACCGGCTCAATGATGCGTTTGAAGATGCGGAAGACAAAGCGTCAACCGTATCTGAACGCATCGACTCGGTGGAAGACGTTGCTGACGATTTGTTTGAGGAATGGGCGGAAGAGTTAGAGCAGATCTCCAACGCTTCTCTGCGCCGCCAGAGTGCGGAAAAACTGCGTACCTCGAAGCGCCGCTCATCCGATCTGATTAAAGCCATGCGTCGTGCGGAATCGCGTATGGCACCGGTGCTGACCTCTTTTCGAGATCACGTACTTTTTCTCAAGCACAATCTCAATGCACAGGCGGTGGCGTCTCTGCAGGGTGAACTTGGTGGCATCGAATCTGACGTCGGGCGCCTGATCCGCGATATGGAAGCCTCCATTGCCGAAGCGCAGAGTTTCATCAACACAATGGAAAACAGCTAAGCCAAGCAGGAAGGTCATATGAAAACGTTTGCTTGGGTCGTTGTTGTGCTGCTGCTTCTGATTGGCGGTGCGGTGGCTTGCGTGGCACTTAATTCTGGTAGCCTGGTTAAAAGTGGGATCGAAAAATTCGGTCCCCAGTTTCTCGGTATTGAGGTTCAGGTCGATAACGTAGACCTTGCCATCACGGAAGGTTCGGCGGCAATCAACGGCTTACGTCTGGGTAATCCAGCGGGTTTCTCCGGTGCGGACATGATGCAGGTTGATCAGATCAAAGTTGTGCTGGATACAAGTCAGATCAGCGATACCCTTGTAGTGATGAAAGAAGTTGTCATAGACGGCGCAAATATTACTGCCATCGCCAAGGGGCAGCAGACCAACTTTCAACAGCTGATGGCTAATCTGGAATCTGCAACGGGTGGTGATTCGCAGGCATCAACGGATGCTGGGCCTGGAACAAAGTTCATCATCGATAAATTCAGTTTCACCAACACTCAGGCAGCCTTGGACTCAGATGTGGTCGGGCAGCTGGCGTTAACTATTCCAGATATACGGCTGCAGAATATTGGCCGGAAAAGTAACGGTGTCACCGGAGCGGAACTGGCACAGCAGATACTGAAACCATTGACTGCATCTATCAGTAATGAGGCGGTGAAACAGGGGCTGGATATCGACGGCGTGAAGCAGAACATTGAGCAGAGAGTCCGCGATAAAATTGGCAGTGGTCTGAAAAGCCTGACCGATAGCCTGAGTCAGTAAACCCTTAAGCCCAGAAAAAGACAATGCAACTCGATAACGTTCTATATGACGTGCAGGGCCCTATGGCTCTGATCACAATCAATCGTGCCGAAAAACACAATGCTATTTCTTTAGCGACCCTGGACGACCTGCATACAGCGGTTGATGCAGCAGCGGATGATGATGCCGTACGTGTGATCACGATTACTGGTGCAGGCGGCAAAGCGTTTGCTGCAGGTTCTGATCTTTCTGAGGTCATTCACAGAGATTTTAAAAAGGCCCTTGAACCTATTGTTCAAGGCCTGGCGGATAAGCTGGAGCGTACGCCCAAACCTACCATCGCTGCCATTGATGGCATCTGTATGGGTGGTGGGCTGGAAGTAGCGCTAGGTTGTGACCTGCGGGTAGCAACGCCACAGTCGCGCTTTGCAACACCTGAAGGCAAGCTCGGTATTATTCCCGGTGGCGGAGCGACTGCACGTCTGCCTCGCATTGTCGGGCGTGGCTGGGGTATGGAAATGTTGCTGATGGGTGAACCCATCGGGGCTGAGCGGGCCCTGGCGATAGGTCTCGTGACCCGCCTGGTTGAATCGGATGAACTGCTCGCGGAAACCCGTCGTATGGCTGATCACCTTGCAGGATTTGCGCCGTTTGTGCCACGCACGATGAAAGCTATGGTGCACTTTGGCATGGAAGCGAGCCTCGCGGGCGCGCTGATGTTCGAGAAATACGCGCAAGGCGCACTGGTGCAGACTGAAGACAAAGTTGAAGGCATCAATGCGTTTTTGGAAAAACGCGACCCCGAATTCAAAGGCCGCTAATTCCTGCTGGCACTCCGCAACCGCCTATTAGATACTCGTTCTCCTTTGATTTTTCAATGTAAGGGAGAGGCTTATGGCTGTTGACAAGTTTCCCGTAGAAGCGAGCCACATCATGATGTTTGCGCGTTCTGTGGGTGATGATAACCAGATTTACTATGATGCGGATTACGCTGCGGGTACTGAGCCCGGCACGATAATTGCGCCACCGACCTTTGCGCAGTCCAGCGCACAGTTTGATCCGGATTACTTTCTCAGACCGAAAATTGGGGAGCCCTGGTTCGGTTCAGGCGGTTCGCCCACCGGCATTAAAAAAGAATCTTCCGGCGGTGGTGGCGGCGGTGGTGGTGGCGGTCTGCATGCTGAACAGCATTTTGAATATCACCGTCATCTGAAGCCCGGCGACGTGCTGACGGCAACCAACCTGCCCGGCAAAACCTGGGAAAAAGAAGGCAAGCGATCCGGCAAGCTGGTGTTTTCTGAATCGATCACAGAATATCGTGATCAGAATGGCGAGTTGGTGATTACAGCCCGTGGCGTTGGTGTTCGCACGGAACGGCCAGTGGACAAATAGGAGGTAACATGGCGTTAAAAGCAGCAGATTTGAATGTAGGTGATACCTATTCTGAGTGTCTGGTCGAAGACCTTAAGCGCACGCAGATTGTCCAGTATGCAGGTGCATCAGGAGACTACAACCCACTCCACACGGATGAGATTTTCACCGTTGAGGTGGCAAAATATCCGTCCGTGTTTGCCCACGGTATGTTGACCATGGGCATGACCGGCGCGATGTTGACCAACTATGTTGGTGATGGTCGGCTGACCAAATATGGTGTGCGGTTCACCAGTCAGGTATGGCCCGGTGATACGCTGAACTCTACCGCCACGGTAGAAAGCATCGAAGATGGGCTGGTTAATCTGAATGTGGAAACAGTCAACCAGGACGGTGTAAAAGTATTGTCAGGGTACGCCCAGGCACGGGTCGATTAGACACTGTCGATATTTGTGAGGTCCCAGCGGGGCCTCACAAAAACTTCCGATCTCACCACTTCTCTACTGACGTACGCACGTCCAGCTCGAAGGTCCAGGCCCGTCGCGGCTGCTGATACAGGTACATAAAACCGTCCACGATACCGTTGATATCTATCATACCATCTTCACCCAGACGTTCCGCGTATTCCGGAAAAGCTTCGATAATTTTGTCGCCGCCGATAGGGCCATCGACCACAACATGGCCGACATGAACACCCTCAGCCCCGTATTCTTTGGCCATGGCCTGAGCCAGATTGCGCAGCGCACCTTTGGATGAATTGAAGGCGCCAAATTTTGCGCGTCCGCGCAGTGAAGCACTGGCACCGGTAAACAGCAGGGTGCCGCCATCACCTTTTAGAAATTGTTGGGTTGCAGCTTTGCCGAATAGAAAGCCGCCAAAGCAGCACACACGCCAGCTGTGTTCGAAGTAACTGGCATCCATGTCGACGATGCGCCCGGGGGTGTTATTGCCCGCATTGTAAATGGCGATATCCAGGTCTGCCCCCGCGCTGTCAAACAGCCCGTTAACGTCCGCCTCAATGGTGGCATCTGCAACTTTTGCGACAGCGCTACCGCCAGCATTTGCGATTGCCGTGACAACAGCGTCCAGGCTGATCTGGGTGCGACCTGCAACAATCACGTGCAAACCGTGTTTTGCCAGGCGCAGGCAGAGTTGTCCTCCAAGACCATTGATAGGCCCTACACCAAGAACAACAGCCGTTTTGGTCATGTACCAATAACCTGTTTAAACGCGCGCAGGGTAACGTGGGCAAACAGACCTGCTGCTGCATAAGGGTCTGCGGCGGCAAACGCCTGCGCAGCCTCGCGGCTGTCAACATCAATGACAATGATGGAGCCCACCATTGTCGTTTCGTCGTCACCCAGCATCGGTCCTGCAAAGCGCACGTCATAGTTCTTCAGAAACGCCAGGTGGTCTTCCCGCACAGCTTTGCGCAGCGATTCACTGTCGGGTTTATCTTCGCAAACGAGTACATAAAGCATCAGTTTAAAGCCGCCTTCAGGGCGTCCACAGTTTCGAGCAAGCCTTTCCGTGAGCTTTCAAACATCGCTGCAGTCGCCATGAAATCATGCACCATGCCGTCATAACGTACTGCGGTAACCTGATTGCCGGCAGCCTGCAACGCATCAGCATAGGCCTCGCCTTCATCCCGCAAAGGATCGAATTCGGCGGTAACAACCAGTGCCGGTGGCAGGTTCGAGAGGTCAGTTGCCAGTAAAGGAGAAGCATCCGCTTCCTTGCGCTGAGCCTGATCCGGACAGTAAGTGTCCCAGAACCATCGCATGGTTTGTGTTTCCAGCAGATACCCCTCACCGTTTGCATCATACGACGGGCGGGTAAGGTCACAGTCCACCACCGGGTAAAGCAGGCATTGAAAGGCGATTTGCGGCCCATTCTGGTCTCGTGCCTTTAATGCAACAACGGCGGACAAATTGCCGCCAGCACTTTCGCCGGTCAGGCCAATTTTGCCGTTGCCGTTCAATTCATGCATGTTGTTCGCGGCCCAGACAGTGGCGTCATACGCGTCGTGAACAGCTGCAGGGTAGGGCGCCTCTGGCGCCATACGATAGTCGACCGAGACGACCACAACCTGTGCCAGGGTGGCCAGCTCGCGGCAGACGGCATCGGAGGTATCAAGGTCGCCAATGACCCAGCCCCCACCGTGAAAGTTCATCAGCACGCCAAAAGGACCTGCACCCGCGGGCGTGTAAATGCGGATTGGAATATCACCCAGAGAACCGTGGATAAGGCGGTCTTCGCAATTGTGGATGGGTAATTCAGGGTTCAAAGGCCGCATGGCCCGGTACATCTCCCTGCCTTGCTCAGGTGTCATTTCCCACAGACCCGGTGCGGGTGGTTGTTGTGCCATTTGTTCAAACATGGCTGCGTATTCCGGTGCGAGTGGCATTGAAATTCCCCCTCCTGCCTCAACTATAAGTGTTCCCTAATTATCAGACCCAATTAGCTCCGAATGAAGCTACACTATGAGTCTAAAAAACACTACCACTTGAACACGGAGTACGCCCATGACCACATTGGATGGCGAACAAGAGCTGGCCGATGTCGCCAAAAACTTAAATCCCCTGGAGTCCACGCTTCTCAAACATCGTACGTTGACGCTGTTTGGCGAGGTCAATCAGGAGGTATCCCGGCGTACCGCTGAAAAATTGCTGACCCTGGCCTATGAATCGGATGAACCGATTTATCTGTACATCAGCTCTCCGGGTGGGCACGTCGAGTCCGGCGATACTATTTTTGACATGATTCGCTACATCAAGCCTGTGGTTTACACTATTGGTACCGGCTGGGTGGGCAGTATTGCCACACACATTTATCTGGCACCGGAACGCGAGAATCGATTCTGTCTGCCGAATACACGCTTCCTGATTCATCAGCCCGCGGGTGGCTTTGGTGGCGATGCTTCTGATATCGAAATCCATGCGCGGGAAATTGTGAAAACCCGAGCGCGCATCAACGCTATTATTGCTGAGCAAACCGGGCAATCGCTTGATCGTGTTACTGCTGATACGGATCGTGACTACTGGATGAGTGCTGAAGAATCCCTTGAGTACGGCCTGGTGGGTAAGGTCATCAGCGGTATCGGCGAGCTGCCTTAATACAACACTTCTGTTGACGGGACAATTTGTAATGCTGTACAAATATACAGTATGCAGATTGTCCTGGCCCGCTACCTAAACAAGCGACTCATAGAGCTCCACGCTTCAACCCGCGGCGAAACCGTCGGGGTGTTGCGGCGTGATGGCAGCTATTCGTATCAACAATGGCTTGGCTTTGTGGATCGAGGTCAGGCGCGCCGAATAGGCAGGCCCGTTCGTCTGCAGGTCTGCCGGGTAGGGCATCAGGGTGACACCCACATTGAATGGCGAGACGTTGCGCAAGGACGCCACGTGCAGGGCTGTCTTACTCAGGCTGGCGTTTATGCAGTGGCGGACTGGAATGTCCGCCTGGTCTGATTATTTTTTGCTGAATCCAGCCAGGCGCTCAGCCATATCAGGACCGGCGCCGGGGCTGTTTTCACGTTCAAATGCCAGGCCGTCTGCCAGCGTATGCTGCAGGCCACCATTAACCAGCATTTTATCGGTGCGCAAGGTGAACCATGAATTGGCCAGGAACGTTTGTGCCATTTCAATTGCAGCATCCAGGAGTTCCTCATCAGGCACGCAGCGGTTGGCCAGCCCCAGATTTGCGGCTTCTTCTCCGCCGATAACACGGCCGGAAAACATCATTTCTTTTGCGGCCAGCAAGCCAATGCGCCGAGGTAGCCGCTGACTCATGCCCCAGGTCGGAGACATACCCCACTTGCCGTGGGTGTCGGCAAACTTTGCCGAGTCGCCGGCAATCATCAGGTCACATGAAATTGCCAGTTCCAGAGATCCTGTGTAGCAGTGTCCCTGTACCGCGGCTATGACCGGTTGTGGTAATTGCTCGATGGCATCTAATGTTTCCGCCTGAAAGTGCGCGCTGGGTGCGCGTTCGCCAGCCTGAATTGCTTTCAGATCGTTTCCCGCAGAAAAAGATCTGCCTTCGCCACGGAGTATCACACAACCAATGTTGTCTGTGTCTGCGGCTATGTTATCCACGTGTTCCCGAAGCTCCACAAACATATTCGGGCTCAGAGCGTTAAGGGTATCTGGTCGATTGAGACTGATAATGGCGAGGCCATCCTGGTCGCGACGAGTAACTAGTGCCATATCTGGTAATCCCCCGGTGAACAGTTTTTTGTTGGACTCAGCTGCGACGCCATGCGCCGAGTCTGATAGAAGCTGCAGTGACTATGCCATAAAGCGCCATGCCTAATGCAAGGTAGATGAAAACCCATTCCACTGCCGCGTCGAACACGAGTACAGCAAGGGCGGCGCCACCTGCACCGATGCCGAATCTGATGAAGTTTGCGACGACCGGCCACACGACAGTACCGGCACCCTGAGAGGCGAAGTATAAAGACAAACCCAGACCCTGAAATGCAAATGCCCAACCTGAATAATGCAGGTACTGTGCGCCAGCAGCAATGGTGTCCGGATCGTTGGAAAAGATGTTGACCCAGACTTCCGGAAAAACTGCGAGGGTCACGCCGATAATGCCTGTGAGCGCGGCGGCGGCACTACCGCCAACAAAAGCAATATGCTCTGCCCGGCGCACATTGCCTGCCCCGACATTCATGCCCACCATGGTGTTCATGGCAGCGCCGAATCCAAACACCATCGGGATCAGCAGGAACTCAAGTCTTGAACCGATGCCGTAGCCGGCAACCACGGCGTCGCCGAAACGGCTGATCACGCCATTAACAATCATGATGGACATCACCGTAAGCACCGGCGATAGTGACGCCAGCGCGCCGACTTTGAAAATGTCGCCAAACAGTTCGGGTTTCAGAATGGCAGCAGAGCGGGTGAGTTGGATACTCAGCGTTGTACTGCTTAGTTTGTTTACGGCAATGCAGGTGTTGAGCGTGGCGACAGTGACCACTGAAAGCGCGGCACCAAGAATGCCCAGTTTTGGCGCGCCAAACCATCCAAGTACCAGGGTGCCGGACAATATCACCTGAACGATGCCGCCGCCGGCCATCAGCAGTGCGGGAAAACGCATTTCGCCAAGGCCGCGGAATACACCGGATAACAGCGACATGAGCCAGATGCTGATGCAGCCGCCAAACATGACGTATCCGTAAGCCAGAGCCTCATCCAGCACCGCATCCTGTGCGCCGATGGCCATTAATAAAGACTCCCCCAAAAGTGCAAAACTTGCTGCGAAGAACAAGCCAGCGCACACGGCTATGAACAGTGCGTGCCAGATCAGTTCCTGAGCGCGGTGGATTTGCTTTGAGCCCATGGCTCTGGCAATAGAACTGGCGACTGCGCCACCCACTGCGCCACCGGAGAGCATCTGCATCAGCATCAAACCGGGGAACACAAACGCCATGGCAGCCAGCGACGTGGTCCCCAACTGGCCCACGTACCAGACTTCAGTCATGCTGACGCTGGCCTGGACCAGAAAAGCGATGGCGTTGGGTGTGGCCATCTTCAACAGAATCGGCAGTGCGCGGCCGTTGAGAATGTTGTCTGTGCGCAGGTCTGCTGCGGTCTGATTCAATGTCCTGGGCCTATAAACCCAGTACCAGTTTGGCAACGATATTGCGCTGCACTTCATTGCTGCCGCCGGCAATGGAAGAGGCGCGATAGTTGAAATAACGGGGAAACGCAGCGACTCCTGATGCAGGACCAACAGCGGGTGTGTTTTGACCGACTTCTCGCGCTTCAGGCTGGTGAGGACTGGCGTAGAATCCCAGTGCTTCCACCATCAGTTCGGATAGATACTGGCTCATATCGGCGCCCAGGGTTTTCATGATGGAAGACTCCGGACCTGGGCTGCCGCCTTTTGATATCTGCGCCATGATGCGGAATTCGGTGAATTGCAGGGCTTCGATTTTGACCCCGGTTTCATTGAGTTTGTTTTTGAAATCATCGTCATCAGCAAGCTTCTGACCGGCAACGTTGGTTTGTTCAGCGAGATGCCGCAGGCGTTGTAAACCCACGCTGAATCGCGCTGCGCCACCGCCACCGCGCTCAAATTCGAGCAGATATTTGGCAACTGTCCATCCCTGATTCTCTTCCCCAACAATATTTGCCTTAGGCACGCGGACATTGTCGAAGAACACCTGGTTGACCTCGTGGGTGTCGGACGCAAACAAAATAGGCTCAACGCTGATACCGGGCAGGTCCATATCCAGCAGTAGAAAAGTGATGCCCTGTTGTGGCTTGCCTGTATCGTCTGTACGCACGAGGATAAACATGCGGTTGGCGTAGTGGGCATGGGTGGTCCATATTTTTGAGCCGTTGAGTACCAGGTGATCACCGTCGCTGCTGGCTTTCAGCTGCAGAGAGGCCAGATCTGAGCCGGAAGCAGGTTCAGAGTAACCCTGACACCAGTAATCTTCGCCAGAGAGAATGCGCGGCAGGTAATAATCTTTTTGCGCTTGAGTGCCGTGTCCGATAAGCATTGGCCCACACATACCCAGCCCCATCGGCGCAGTGCTGGGTGTGCCAGCCAGGCTTGTTTCAGTGGTCCAGATATACTGTTGCATGAGGTCCCAGCCGGTACCGCCATATTCTTTTGGCCATGCCGGTGCCACCCAGCCCTGCTTGTACAGGATTTTGTGCCAGGTCATATTGTGCTCGTAGTCCAGAAATATACCCGGACAGAAAGCCGCCGCCTGTTTCAGTTCGTCCGTGAGGGCGTGGCTTAAAAATTGTTTAACTTCATCGCGGAAGGCTTCGTGCTGTGCACTGAACGAGATATCCATATGTCCCCTCAATCTGGATTTGGCTGTGTTTTCATGCCATGCGCAAGAGATTCTAACTCGAACACGTGTGGGTCGTCGGCACCCAGTTGCCTCAGTGCCTCGGCAAGTTCCTGCAGATACTCAAGGTTGTGACCGCTGGGGCCGCGACTGCGGATAATCTGGCGGGCAATTTCATGCAATGGCGCTTCACCAAGGTAAGCAAAGTTACCTTCGGTGGCAATGTATACCAGGCCTTCAACCCGGTTGCCGTCGTTCAGGTGCAGCTGGCTGTTGATGCGGCTGTAACCGTTCTTTTCCCGATGGTCGAGTTGCTCAAAGGTGGCGGTGACCGTTTGCTGAGGTAGCAGATAGGCCATGCCCAGACAGCGCGCGTTTGCTTCCGGAATCAGGGTAACCACGCGTCCGGGTTGTTCCGGTACACCGCGATGATCGTGTGAACCCTGCCAGAACCGTCGTGTGTAGCCAGGCAGTATTGCCGGTTGTGCGTGCAGGTACTCGAAGCCAGGCCGCCAGATCAGCGAGCCATAGCCGAATACCCAGGCTGCATCCGAGGTATCCGAGGAATTAGACGCCACGTGTTCTCGCGGACTTAAACATGGTTGGATCTGGGTTCTGTTGAGTGCTCGCGAAGTTTAACGCGAACTCCGTTGCACGCGTAGCGAGTTATCTGCCCATACAGTTGCATGCTTGCACGCCAGAGTGGTTGCGTTTGTGCACACAAAGACTGACAGATTGTTAACCGGCCGGTTCCAGTTGGGCTGCCCTGGCATCTGCTTCCAGCACGCGTGCGCCACGCATGATATTCCCCAAGGCATAGTTACCTTCATGACACGCAACTTCGTAAACCTTGCCATCAGCTGCTGCCCACGGGTACTCACCACCCCAGGGTTGTGTCCAGATTTCCGGATTGTTGACTTCGAACCGGTACAACAGGCCGCCATCATCTGTGCGGCTGAGGTACTCTGTGACCCGAAGGTTTTCATCCGCACCGGATAACGCTGGTGTCTGTTTGAAATTTTTTGTCTCGATGACCAGGGTTTCACCTTCCCAATGGCCGATACTGTCACCTAACCAGGTTCTTATATTATCGGGACGGTGGGTTGCGTTCATGCGGATGACGCGAGCATCGTGATTCATTTCGGTGAGGATCATGATGTGATCCGGTGTCTGGATGATGCGTTTATGGTTGTTGTAGATGTTGGGCAGCATCGGTGGGCCGGCAGTGGAGCGCGAGCCGATGATGCAACGTTCAGCCAGGGGTCTTTGTTCCAGGTTGTCATAGGGTCCACTTTCTTCTTCAAGCCACCAGGCTTCGCCAGAGTTTTTGCTGGCCGTCGGGTCGGGGCTGCGCCAGATGATCTGCCAGTTGTCTAAAAACCCTTTTAAGCGAGCGGCGCCGTAAGGGGTCATGGCAGGTATTCGACCATTAGCTGGCGTGGTAATGATTGATGTTCTGAATTTCCCATCAACGCTGGCTGCGCCAGTACCCACATCCAGCCAGAAGAAATTGTAACCGCCAACGTTGCCACCTTTTTCGGGTGCGTCGCGATTGGGGTCGCTGTCAGCTGCGTCCTGGGCAACTCTAGCTTGGATCCGCTGGGCGTAAACCGCAGCCTCTTCTTCGGTCAGAAACAGATTGTTGCCATACGCCTCCGGGCGTTGCAGCGGTGTCAAAGTACCGACATCGTAAGTGCCTGACAGGTTGCCTGCCGCCTGGCATTCAACACTGATCATCAGGTTGGCAGTAAAGATGAGGAGCGAGATTAAGAGTGATTTTTGCATAGTCTAATAGTCGCAGTCTGAACCATGGTGTAGTGGCAGCATTGCACAATTCATTCCAGCCTGTCAGGCGCGAAGTGGGCGCTTATCGCACTTTATTGGCGCCTGAGCGCCTTAGGCGCACCTTTATCTTGCGTGACAGAGCCTGCGTGCACAATTTGTGCGCCAGCGATATCGATGTCTATGCCGTTAACTGCCCTGAAGAGCCGATTGTTTCGCGGCCATCCGCTATGGCACGTTCTTTGAATCAGCTTTCATCACTATGAGCGGATTCGGTGAATTCGCAGACAGGTTCTTCAACAAACGAAAGCTGGAAACGAGGCGTGGAAACACAACTGATTGTGCTCATCGGGCTGCTTGCTCTGGCTGGCGCCTTTGCGGGTGTCACTGCCGGCTTGTTTGGCAATGGCGGCGGATTTGTCGTCGTGCCTTCCCTGATTGCGGTTTTTTCCATTCTTGGCGAGACCACAAGCGATCTTATCTATGTCGCTATCGGTACGTCGCTGGCTTCCATAGTGGTCTCCTCTGCACGTTCAGTGCAGGCGCATCACAAGCATAAAGCGGTTGATTATGAGACGTTGAAATCATGGGCGCCCTGGCTGGTTATGGGTGTGGCCATCGGTTTGTACATCGCTTCTATCACCGATGGTGAAAGTCTGTTTCTGGTCTTTGCTGTGGGTGTTCTGCTGTACTCCATCTATTTTCTGTTTCCAGATATGTTTGTGAATTCGACGAGATCGCTGTCGATGCCAAAAGGCGTTGGAAAAGCCAGCCTTGCGTCATTTTTAGGTGGCTTCTCAGCGTTGCTGGGTATCGGCGGCGGCACCATTACCGTTATGACTATGGTGATGTGTAATCGATCAGTACACCAGGCGGTCGCCACCGCAGCTGGGGTGGGCTTCATTATCGCCCTGCCTGGCTCTATTGGTTTTGCGTTGCTGGGTCTGGGTCACACCTCTTTGCCCACAGGCTCCGTCGGTTTCATCAATTTCCCGGCCCTGTTAGCCATCTGCTCAGCCTCTGTTCTGACCGCACCTATTGGTGCCCGTTGGGCACACAGCCTTGATGAACAACACCTCAAACGCCTGTTTGGGGTTTACCTCGTCATGGTTTCCGCGTCGATGTTCTATAAATCGATGCAAGTATAAATACACATAAGGATTTTGATGATGTCTAAAGGTTCAGCAATTAACAGAAGAATGTTCCTGGCCGGGTCATCCGTTGCAGTAGGTTCAAGCATGGTACTGCCCAGTCTTGCTGCCGCCGCGCCGGGTGCCATGACAACCGCACCGGCTTATGGACCCTTGGCTGGGGTGGCCAAACTAAATGCCAACGAAAATCCCTATGGCCCAAGCCCTGCAGCGATCAAGGCCATGGACGCAGCGATGCGAAAAGGTGCTTATTACGTCAATGATTCGGTGACTCGTCTGAAAGCAATGATCGCTGAACGCCATGGACTGACGCCTGAGCATATTCTGTTAAGTTCCGGCTCCAGTGGTGGCCTCACTTATCTTGCTCAGGCGGTGTCTGGCTCGGGCAAAATATTGGGCCCGGACCTGTTCTGGGATACGACGACGCGGATGGGTACACGTCAGCAGGGTGAAATCAAACGTTTGCCGAAGACATCCGATCTTGCCATCAACCTTGCTGCTATGGAAGACGCCATATCTGACGACGTCGCCATGGTGCAGGTGACTAATCCAAATAATCCAACAGGCATGGTGCTTGCCGCTGACGAACTCATGGCCTTCACGAAGCGTGCGTCAAAGAAAACGCTGGTGTTGCTCGATGAAGCCTACAATGAGTTGACTGATGATCCTGAAGCCAACTCCATGGTGCCGCTGGTTAAACAGGGTTACAACGTTGTTGTTGCACGAACATTTTCCAAAATCTATGGGCTGGCAGGCATGCGGGTGGGCTATCTGATGGCGGCACCGGAAACCATTGAAATGATCAGTCAATATGCGCTGGGCGACTATTCATTGAATCAGGCGGGTGTTGCAGCAGCGGTTGCCAGTTATAACGATGAACCTTTTCTGGCGTACGCCAAAGCCAGGGTTGTGGAAGCGCGGGGCATTGTCACGGCGGGCCTGGCTGCAAACGGGCTCAGCGCGTTACCCTCAAGTACAAACTTCATGTTTGTTGATCTGGGTAAACGCAGCGCAGAAGACTTTCGTGCTGCGATGGCGCAAAGAAATGTCTTAATCCGTGGTATTTATCGGGATTACACGCAGTGGTCCAGAGTAAGTATGGGCGAGATCAAAGACGTTGAGCAGTATGTCGCGGCACTGCCAGCAGTTCTGGATGCGATTCCTGAAGTCGCTGTGTAAAGCGCGTGCGCATTTCTGTTTGTCGGAGCTTACGATAAACCTTGTGACACATCGTAGGCTTTACGGGTTTGCTCCTGCAGCTCTGGAGACAAGATGAAATCTGCGGCGGTCAGAGCTAATGCTTTGGCGCCATCCAGACAGGCATGGTCGCCTTTATCCGAGCCCGCCCATTTTTCAAACTCCGGGTTATGGATCACCACGCTGGGTGGTGCGACTGCCAGCATTGGGTGTATCGAAGGCACACGGTAACTCACATTACCCATATCGGTGCTGCCCGCACCAAACTTTCTGGCATCCTCAAAAGGTACAAATTCACGTCCCAGGCTCTGGGCATGCTCACGAAATTGTTCCGCCAGCGGCCAGTTTGTGTTCAGATCGAGATAATCGACGTTTGCCCAGTTTACCTCAACTTCGCAGCCGCTGCCTTTGGCGCCTGCTTCAAAACAGGCTTGTACACGTGGTTTCAGTTTAGCCAGGTCTTTTTCGTTAGCTGCTCGAACATAAAACTCGCCTGCACAATGGTCAGGAACAATGTTGGGTGCATCGCCACCCTGGGTAATGATGCCATGAATGCGCTCGCTGGCGCGGATGTGTTGTCGGAGATTGGAAATAGCCTGATATGCTAACAACAAGCCATCTAACGCATTAATACCCTTGTGGGGCATGGCTGATGCGTGTGCTGATTTACCATGATAGATGACTTCAACTTCAGCCACGCAGATGCATGGCATCGATGCCAGGTTGACACCTGCGGGGTGAATCATCATGGCAGCATCTACGCCATCAAAGGCGCCGGCGCGTGCCATAAGTTCTTTACCGCCGCCGCGTTCCTCTGCGGGTGTACCAATCAAACGGATTTTACCAGGTAGCTGCTCTGCTACGGCCTGTAGGCCGAGGGTTGCCCCCAACGCGGTTGTTGCGATGATGTTGTGACCGCACGCATGTCCAATGCCCGGCAAAGCATCATATTCGGCGAGAATGGCAACGGTTGGGCCCACTTTGCTTGCATTCAGTTTTGCTTCGAAAGCGGTAGGCAGTGTGAACACATTTGTTTCTGGTTCGAAGCCATGTTTTGCCAGAGAGTTGGTCAGCGTTTCGCAGGCGAAGTGTTCCTGAAAAGCCAGTTCAGGGTGAGCGTGGATAGCATGGGATACCTCAAGGAGTTCGTTAGCAAGTTCGTCGATGCGGCTGATGATGCTTTGGTAAATCGGATCAGACATGGCTATCTCCTTGAGACAATACAAATTGTGGGTGAGTGCGCGCTGGCGTGTCAGTCACTCGCTGGCCTGGCTATTAACTGACCCACGCGGGCCTGGTGCAGCGCGCCCCAGACCATGACCAGAATCATGGCCAGCAAACCGTTGCGAATACTGTCAACGCCGTCGCTGGCAGCAGTGGCGTCACTGATGATGCCAACAGAAAGAGGCCCTAAGCCCAGGCCGATGATGTTCAATACAAACAGATTTATGGCAGCACCAACGGCACGCATCTCTACCGGCAGCTGAGATTGCAGCATGGCAAAGTTGGTGCCCAGGTAAACCCCACCGAGGGTGGCTGGTCCAAAAAACCAGGCCGCCGCCCAGAACGGATCCGTTGCGGTAAAACTCAGGTAGGCGGTGGGTATGTAAACGATCACTGCGACAAGCACAACCCAGGCTCGCCAGCCTTCACTGAATTTAGCCAGACGGTCGGCAAGATAGCCGCCGAGAAAAGTGCCTATACCGCCGCCAACCCCGATAGCCAGAGCCAGAACGGTGCCGGATTCGCCGGTAGTAAACGCATGTACTCGTTGCAGATAAACAGGTACCCAGGCGATCGCGGCGTAGCCTGCGAAGCTGAGTAACATGCTGGCCATGAGCAGATTGCGGATCGTGACATGGCCAATCATGAGTTTCACAACATCCCAGAACGGTGGGGCGACAGGCCTCTCCAATAAACCGTCTGAGTAACCTCGTGGGGGTTCCACCATGGTGTAGCGGACCACGACAGCGATTAAAAGACCCGGTGCACCCGCGGCCACAAAGGCCCAGCGCCAGTCGAGGAATTCGTTGACCCAGCCGCCGATCAGATAACCGAACATGACGCCGAAGTTCACGCCCAGCGCAAAAATCGCCATGGCAGTACCGCGCTGTGAAGCCGGGTACAGGTCTGAGATGATTGAGTGTGAAGGCGGGTTGGAACCCGCCTCACCAACGCCGACCCCGATGCGCGCGATCAGCAGTTGCCAGAATTGCACCGCAGCACCGCACAAAGCCGTCATCAGACTCCAGGTGGCAATGGAGAAAGTAATCAGGTTGCGGCGATTGCGACGGTCGGCCCACATGGCCATAGGCATGCCGAGGGTGGCGTAGAACACGGCAAACATGACACCTGTTAACAGCCCCAACTGGGTGTCGCTGATCTGGAACGCCTGCTTTATGGGCTCCTGCAGAATGGCCACAATCTGTCTGTCGATATGGCTTGAGGTGAACACCACCACCAGCAGAAACAGGGTGTAACTTCTCTGTCGCTTGGTTATTGTTATTTCGGACATAGCACCTAAGTATGACCGGGCGCTAGGGGACATCAAGATAAAGTTATACGGGGGAATAACGATGGCTTATGACTATGAATTGTTACGGGTAGACGTTGATGGGCGCCTGGCGGTGGTCACGATCAACAATCCACCTATTAATCTACTGACGCTGCCGTTGTATGCTGAGTTGAATACGCTGACGGCAGAGCTGAAAGCAGACCCGGATCTGACGGTGGTGGTGTTTAAAAGCGCAGATCCGGATTTCTTTATTGCGCACTTCGACGTCGAAGCCATTCTGCAGTTTCCAATAGACAAACCGGCGGAAAGAGATCCCGAGTTGAACCTCTATCACATCATGTGCGAGCGGGTACGCACCATGGATAAAGTCACCATTGCTCAGATTGAAGGTCGCGTTGGTGGTGGCGGAAGTGAATTTGCCGCCAGCATGGACATGCGTTTTGGCGTTGAAGGCAAAACCAGGATCAATCAGATGGAGGTGCCGCTGGGTATCCTGCCTGGCGGCACCGGCACGCAGCGGCTGCCGCGCCTGATCGGTCGCGCTCGGGCAATGGAAGTTATTCTGGGTGCGGATGACCTCGATGCAGCCACAGCTGAGCGCTGGGGTTATCTGAATCGGATCTTTCCGGCAGATGAGATTGAGGCCTGGGTTGATCAATTTGCGCGTCGCATTGCAAGCTTTCCGGTTGAGTCTGTGCGGCTCGCAAAAGCATCAATTACCGCCTCGGATCAACCGCTGGCTGAAGGCCTGCTTGAAGAAGCTTATCTGTTCCAGCGCTTGTTACGAAACGAGAGCGCGCAGGCGAATATGCAACGCTATCTGGAAATAGGGGGGCAGACCCGGGACGGCGAATTGCGCGTCAACGAGCTAAATGCCGAGTTGGGCAATGACACTTAACAGACGTGTTGGTCGGATTCGACGGAGATAGATATGATCACGCCCCGTACCACCGGTCACCTATATATTGATTTGATTAATACCTATTATGCGGGCTGCAACACCTACGATGTTGACTTGATGATGTCGACCTTTACAGATGACGTGGTGCACTATTTTGTTGACCACAGCGCCGTTCGTGGGGCTCGTGAGTTAGCTAACTACTGGTCTAAGGTGGCGCCTAAAACCCAGGCTAACTGGGTGTTGGATCATGCTCTGGTGCAGGAGCCAGAGGCGGTGATTGAATGGAGTATGTCCTGGGTGCCTGCACAAACCGGCGAGGTGCAGCTGCTGCGCGGAAGCGAATGGTATGTGTTCGAAGCAGATAAAATTGCGGAAATCCGCTCGTATCATAACAACTACTATCTGCACAGCCCGGCCAATGCCGAGCTGCATGACTTTGACTACGCTGGTCGCGGTTACCGACTGAACAGCTGAGGTGGGTGCTCAGGCCTTCGCATCTGCCGAGGCAAAATTCAGTCGAGCAACTTCCGCCATTGTTGTAATGGCTTCGGTGTTGCCGCTGATGGTCAGGCCGGTGATACCGCTGTTCTCCCAGGCTTTAAAACGTTGGGCGATGCGATCTTTAGGTCCGATCAACGCGCCGCTGTCGACAAATTCATCGGGTACCGCAGCGATGGCTTCGTCTTTGCGTTTGGCCAGGTAAAGTTCCTGTATGCGCTCTGCCGCATCACCAAACCCGCGACGTACCATCATTTCCTTGTGGAAGTTGATGTTTTTATGGCCCATGCCGCCAACGTAGAGGGCAATGCCCGGTTTCATCGAGTCCAGCGCACCTTGCACATCCTCTGTGACCCGCACCTGGGCCATGGCCTGGCGTTCAAACTGATCTGCATCTTTGCCCGCTTTTTCCAGGCCCTGATTGATCCAGTCGTCATACAGGTGGGCGGTTTCCGGAACAAAACCCAGTGGCAGCCAGCCATCGGCAACCTCAGCAGTCATGCGCACGGTTGCTTCCATACCGGTACCGAGGAACACCGGGATATTCGGGTTCATATGCAGAATGGATTTCAGAGGTTTGCCAATGCCCAAGGCGCCTTCGCCTTTATAAGGCAATGAAATTTCTTTGCCATCGTGGGTGACCGGTTCTTCTCGCGCCCAGATTTTTTTCATGATGGCGACATAGTCTTTTAACCGGTAGTAAGGTTTTCCCCAGGGCTGGCCATACCAGCCCTCTACAATTTGTGGCCCGGAGACGCCTAAACCGCAGATCACACGGTTGCCCCCGGCCAGCTTGTCGAGGGTTGCCATGGCCATGGCTGTATTTGCAGGTGTGCGTCCAGCCAGTTGCAACACGGCTGTACCGAGGCGGATACGGTCGGTATGTGCCGCAAGAAAGGCCAGTGGCGTAATGGCGTCAGATCCGTAAGCCTCAGCGGTCCAGACGCTGTCGTAGCCTAAGCGTTCAGCCAGTTTAACGTCGTCCAGTGGAATGCGCAGTTCTGCGCCTGAGTAACCCAGCATCAGTCCTAATTTCATATATCTCCCCAGTCAGAAAGCGTTGCCTGACAATCTGGTCAGGCGTTTTTACGGATCAGTGCGATTGCCGCAAACCAGTAAACGGCGATCGGAATGAGAATAGCGATAAGTGCAGGGATGTTGAAGACGATGGCTGCAGGCGCAAACAGATCCTGCAGGTACTTGAACCCAAGCCCGGCAAATATGCCAAAGGTCAGGCGTAATCCCATGCCCACCTCGCGTAGTGGGCCGATGACCACCGCCAGCGCAAACAGTGTAAGGCCGAGAAAGGTCAGCGGCTTCAACACCCGGTTCCAGAATGCCAGTTCGTACTCGGAGACACCCAGGCTCTGCGTGCGGGCAAAGGCGATCTGCCGGTATAAAGCGGCCATAGACATCTTGTTCGGTTCGAGAAAGGCCTGGCTCGCCAACAGCTCTGGCGTGATAGGATTATTCCACTGCCATTCATCCAGAGATTCCTGGGTGGCTGCGCCGTTAATCAGCTCGGTTTTGACGACATCCTGGAGTAACCACATCTGTTCGGGTTCAGAGTAGCGTCCGGAAGCCGCAGATATGGTTGTTTGCAGTTGCTTGTCTTCATTGAGCCAGAGTTGCTCAACGCCCCAGATCTGACCTTCTTCGTCAATGGCGTTCAATCGCATGTACAGCTGCTGGTCCCGTAACCATAAGCCGCCCATTAAACCTAATGCGTCGTCGCCATATTGTGCCTGCAGCTTGCCGACTTCAGCGGTCCGTTCACTGGCAGGTGCAATGAATTCAGCAACGATGACACTTAACGACAGCCATAGAATCATAGACGGGGCGAGCGCCAGACAGAGGCGTTGCGCAGACATACCCGACACGCGACATATAGTGAGTTCGTTTGTTTCAGCGAGACTGCCCAGCGCAATCAGGTAACCTAAAAACAGGCCGTAGACGAGGATTTCATCGAAGCGTCGAGGCAGCGTCTGCAAGACATAGAGGCCCGCTTCCCACAATCCGTAGGTCGTCTGACTTTCATCCATCTCTTCGAACAGTGCAAACAGGGTAATCAGACTCAGCAGCACCGCGATAACCACAAATATTGCGCGATTGGCGTGGCCGGTAATGTATCTGTCCAGTGTCCCCATGGCGTGTATTCAGGTCTTCGGTTGTTGGTTTGTTTGCGGGTCGGCGTCTGCCTGGGCTTTGTTATCTTCAGCCTGTGCTCGAGCTTCCTCAGCAAAATACCGCATCGCCCGATCTGTGCTGAAAAAGATCTGTCCGGTGATAATCTTGTCCAGGCCTGCTGCATTCAAGTGTGGCAACAGTGTGCCTTTCAAATCACTCAAGCTCAAAGTAATGCCCGCCTGTTTGAGGTTATTGTTCAGCCGAATCAACATCTGCAGGCCGGTGGCGTCGATCATATTCACGGAGCCACAGACTATCAGAACGTGTTTGGTGCCTTTGCGTCGTTGGGCGCGCTTCAGGAATTTGTCTTCAATCTGCACTGCATTGGCAAAGTAAATATTTTCGTCCACGCGCAGGGCCAGGACGCCGGGCAGCGTTTCGACATCATAGCGTTTGATAGAACGGAAATGTTCGGTGTCGGCCAGTCGTCCTACCTGGGTGATGTTGGGTCGACTTGAGGTGCGGATGAAAAACGCAATAGACAACAGTACCCCAGCAGCCAGTCCAACTTCTACGCCAAGAAACAGCACCATCAGCATGGTCGCAATTTCTGTCAGGGTGTCGTGGCGGTGAATAGCCCAATGATGCCGTGAGCTTTTCAGATCCATCAGACCCACCACAGATACCATCACGATGGCAGCCAGGACCGCATGCGGCAGGGCGCTGAATAACTGGGTGAAAAACAACAGCACAATTACAATCACCGCCGCGCAAACCAGGCTGCTGACCGGGGTGCGGCCACCGCTGAGATAGTTCACGCTGGAGCGTGAAAAACTGCCTGCCACTGGATAAGCACCGGTGAAGGCTGCGCCGATGTTGGCTGCGCCTATGGCAATCAGCTCCTGATGGGAATTCACCCGCGTCTGTTTGCGGGCGGCGAGGGTGGCTCCGATGGAATAACTTTCCACATAGGACACCAGCGCGATAACCACTGAAGAGGGTAACAGGGCGAGCCACAGATCAAAGTCGAGAGGTGGTGGTGACACTTCCGGTAATCCTGCAGGCACAACTCCAACGGTTGCCAGCTGCTGGTCGGCCCCGCTGAGGGTTGCCCAGACCACAGCAAGTGTAGCAACGATCATCGGACCCACCTTGGTAGCGGGATGAGTATCGTCAATAGCCATGCCCACAAGTCGACTCAGAGGCGGCAGGATGCGCGGCCAGGTAAGCAGCAGTGTGAGCGCCACAGCACCGGTAACCAGGGTCAGCCGATCAATCTGTGGTAACGCAGTGACCAGTGCCGTGATCACCGACAGCGGCTGAGATGATTCACTTTCAATGCCGGTAAAAGCGGGAATCTGACTGACAATAATGAGAATCGCGGCGGCGTTTACAAAGCCGGTGATCACCGGGTGGCTCAAGAGGTTAACCAGGCCGCCCATGCGCGATAATCGTAAGATCCACAGAAAAAGACCCGCCTGCAAACAGATGATAGTGGTGATCTGCAGGTATTCGTCGCTGAACTTTGGCGCGTATTCACTCACGGTCGCAGCCACTAACAGAGCGGCTACCGCAACCGGACCCACCACCATCTGTCGGCTGCTGCCGAAGAGTGCGTACAACACCATGGGTACCAGACAAGCATACAAACCGGCTTCTGGCGGCACCCCGGCGAGAAAAGCATAGGCCACGGCCTGGGGGATGGTCACCATGCCGACAATCAGGCCGGCGACCAGATCGTGACTGAAGTCGTCTTTTTTGTATTTCTGCAGAATGGGGATAAGGGGCAGGTAGCCTGGCCATTCCCGTAAACCCATCTTGAACCACAGGGCGGGTCGCATGTTTAAGTTCGGTGGGTAGTAGGCATAGATGCAAATTGTAGCAGTAGTCTTGCTTGAATAGTGTGTGGTGCTTGCCAACACCCGGGGCTAAAGCTGAACATGGGGGCTTTATTGTTGGCATCTGCGTTGCCAACATCTGTTTAGCCTATGAGGGAGTGAGAATTATGGAAAGCAAAGCCGCGGTTGCTTTTGCTGCGGGTCAACCGCTGAGTGTGGAAACGGTAACGCTGGACGGGCCAGGTCCGGGTGAGGTGCTGGTGGAAATAAAGGCCACCGGCATCTGCCACACAGATGCGTACACCCTGTCCGGTGCAGATTCGGAAGGTATCTTTCCATCGATACTGGGGCATGAAGGTGCGGGAATTGTGCAGGAAGTGGGCGCCGGCGTGACGTCTGTTGCACCAGGTGACCACGTTATTCCCCTGTACACACCGGAATGTCGACAATGTAAGTTCTGTCTGTCCGGCAAAACCAACCTCTGTGGCGCTATTCGCGAGACCCAGGGTAAAGGCGTTATGCCGGACGGTACGTCGAGGTTCTCTCTGGGTGGGGATCCGCTTTATCACTATATGGGTACATCCACCTTTTCAAACTTCACAGTCTTGCCTGAAATTGCGTTGGCAAAAATTCGTCCGGATGCGCCTTTTGACAAGGTCTGTTACATCGGTTGTGGGGTGACCACAGGATTGGGTGCGGTCATCAATACCGCACAAGTTGAGCCAGGCGCCAATGTGGCCGTGTTTGGTCTGGGTGGTATTGGCTTAAATGTTATCCAGGGCGCGCGTATGGTGGGTGCGGACCGAATAATCGGTATCGACTTGAACGACGATAAACGAGTCCTTGCTGAACAATTTGGCATGACCGACTTCATCAACCCCGGGGAGGTAGATGATGTGGTTGCAGCAATTGTCGACCTCACTGATGGCGGTGTTGATTATTCGTTTGAATGTATCGGTAACACCGATGTCATGCGCCAGGCATTGGAGTGCTGCCACAAAGGTTGGGGCGAGAGTGTGATTGTTGGTGTGGCCGCTGCGGGTAAAGAGATTTCAACGCGCCCGTTTCAGCTGGTGACCGGTCGGGTATGGAAAGGCACGGCTTTTGGTGGTGCAAGAGGCAGGACTGACGTACCTAAGATTGTCGACTGGTATATGCAGGGCAAGATCAACATAGATGACCTGATCACGCATACCTTTTCGCTGGAAGATATCAATAAGGGTTTCGATTTGATGCACAAAGGCGAAAGCATACGTTCGGTGGTAGTGTATTAAAGGACTGGATGATGGATAGAGAACAATGGCTGGCCCAGGTGCAAGAAGACATTATCGAGCCGGATCTGCCGATCTGTGATCCTCACCATCATCTCTGGGATGATGCTAACAACCCTTATCTTCTGCCTGAACTTTTGGCGGATACGGGTGCGGGCCATAATGTGGTCAGCACGGTATTTGTAGAGTGTGCAGCCATGTACCGAGCAGATGGGCCGGAGAAGATGCGGCCAGTGGGTGAAACAGAGTTTGTCAATGGTGTGGCGGCTATGTCGGCCAGTGGTCGCTATGGGAACATGCGGGCGTGCGCCGGTATTGTCAGCTATGCAGACCTGACGCTGGGCGCCCAGGTTGGATCTGTCCTGGATGCCCATATGGCCGCTTCGCAACGTTTCCGGGGTATCCGGCATGCGGCAGGTTGGGATGCAGATAAACGAGTGCGTAATTCTCATACAAACCCGTGTGAAAGCTTGTTTCTACAGGACAGCTTCCGTGCCGGCTTTGCGGAACTGGCAAAGCGGGGTTTGAGCTTCGATGCATGGCTTTACCACCCTCAGATACCTGAGCTCACAGATCTCGCTCGAGCATTTCCGGACACCACGATTATCCTAGACCACTTTGGGGGTCCGTTAGGCATAGGTCCTTATGCAGGCCACGCAGATGAGATATATGCGCAGTGGCAAATGGACGTGCGCAGTCTTACCGAGTGTAAGAATGTGTATGCAAAACTGGGTGGTATTGTGATGCCTGTTAACGGCTTCGGCTGGCACAAACGCGATTTGCCGGCTACCTCAGATGAAATTGTGATGGCAACCGGTCGTTATCATCGTTCAGCCATTGAGCTGTTTGGCCCCGAGCGCTGTATGTTCGAGAGTAACTTTCCGGTAGATAAGCAGAGTTGCTCGTACGCGGTTTTATGGAACGCATTCAAGAAGATTGCCGCTGGCTTCAGCGCCGAAGACAAGAGCCGCCTGTTTCATGATACGGCGGTTGAAGCTTACCGGTTATAGTCGCTAGTCGTAGAAGGCAGGCGCCAGGTTCAGACTGTCTGCCAAAGCCTGGCTGTGTTCCAACCACAGGGTGGCACCTTCCTTCTGCAGGCGCTGCTCTATTTTCTGCATTGCCTCTAAGGTCTGCTCTCTGTCCGTATTAAATGCCGGTACGCGCTGATGCCGGCGGCTGAATTCAAAATGATAAAGATCGCCTGACAGGAGTATCGGTCCGGTATTCTCGAGTTTTACAAGCAGCACCTGATGTCCGGGCGTGTGGCCAGGCGCTGAGATAAGGATGACAGAGCCATCACCAAATACATCGTGGTCCGCATCGGTGAGTTCAATGCGATCTGCGTCAGCAAGTTTGCTGTAGAGGCTCGGATCAAATATTTCGTATTGATCCGCCTCCAGAAACGCGGCGGTGTATTCTCGTTTGTTGATCAGAAGCGTGCTGTCTGCAAAAGCATCTGCTGCTCCGATGTGATCGAAATGAAAGTGTGAAAATGCCACCAGATCAATGTCGGTAGGTTGCAGATCGATGTCTGCGAGTTGATCAAGCACAGAGCGCGGGTACGAGACCTTCATGCCGGGTTCCAGTTCCAGATCTTCACTTCCGACAAGGTTCAGTGGTAAACCGCCATCCCAGAACAGGCGCTGACCATCATTTTCGATCAGATAACAGGGTACAAACAAATCGCGCACATCAGTTTCTTCGTTTGTCAGGCCGAAGCTGGCCACGTCAACAATGTTTATGCTGCCGCAGTTGAAGACGTAGATTCTGGGTGCCGCAGACGCTGACATACTGAGCGCGCTGGCAAAAACCAGGGCAATGAGGGTGATAGATAAGCGCAAAACAGTTCTCCTTAGTCGAACAAGGTGTACAACACCAGTTGCATGGCAATTAATACAGAGGCCCACAATCGCATATCCCGCCAGCGAGATTGATCCGGGGCCTCAGTGAAAATTATTTTGTGAGGAATAAGCCAGACCAGGACGCCGAGCACCAGAAAGCCGAATATCGACAGATAGTTGGCCCAGGCTACGGGCAGAGTAGACAGATCCATCAGGTGCGCCTCCAGGGTGAATAGGTCAGTTTACTCAGATCGGATTCAGGATGGGCAGGTGTAAAGAAACTTAATATCCACAGTGCAACCAGGCTGTAGACGAAGCTGTAGAAGGCAACGTACAGCATGTTCATGCCGGTCCATAACATGAGTGACGAGACAATCACGCCGCTGATGAGTGTCCACAACCCGGCCTGGGGTGTGGCGCGTGTGGTGAATGCACCAAGCAGCAGTAGTGCCAGCATAGGACCTTGAAACAGTGAAAGGATGGTTTGGATAAACGTGAAGATGCCACCCATGTCCGCAATCAGTGGCGCAGTGCACATGGCAAGCAGCAGCAGTATGAGGGTCAGGTAACGGCCGATTTTAAGGTCGTTTTCAGGATTCGCATTCTTCAGCACCACGTGGCGGATGTCCCGGGTGATCATCAGCGATGTGGAGTTCACGCCGGAATCGATGGTGGACTGCAGCGCCGCGATGATTGCAATGAACATAAGCCCGGAAATGCCCGGTGGCAGCACATTTTTGATGACCCAGGGCAGGGCCATGTCCGGGTATTCAATCTGGGCTTTCATCACCAGCGCCAGCAGTCCCGGGAACACGATAAGCAACGGAATAAACATTTTTCCAAAAGCGGCGAACATCATGCCCGCGCTGGCGTCCCACTGAGTTTTGGCGCCAAGGGTGCGTTGCAGAATAGCCTGACCAGCGCACCAGTAGGCTGGCGATAGAACGAGACCAAGACCAAGTAATACGCCAGGCCACGGATAGCTTTCATGATCCGCGGATAGATAAGCCTGCAGGTGATTCGGATTGTCCCGGGTGAGCGTTTCAGCAAATCCTGCAAATCCGCCGGTTTCAGAAATGCCGAGCCCGACGATGACAAGACCGCCAATGAACATGATGCAGACCTGTAACGTGTCAGTGAACGCAACCGCTGCGAGCCCGCCGGCGATGCTGTAAGCACCGACCACCGTGCCGGTGACTACAATGCCTACCCAGATCGGCCAGCCGAGGTAGGTCTGCAAGGTCAGGGCGATGGCCCATAAAGCAACGCCAATGGCAAACACCGTGACCACACTGGTGATGACCGCTGCGGTGACGCGAACCGCCGGGTTGTAACGTAAACCCAGGTATTCTGGAATGGAGTACACGCCGGCTTTCCAGTACAGGGGAATGAACACCAGCGCAGCAATGATCATTGCTGGAATGGCACCTATCCATTCGAAATTTGCCTGGGCTATGCCAATATTAAACGCATTGCCCGCCGCGCCAACGTAGCTGTTGGCGCCGATGTTGGTACCGATAATAGATAAACCGATAACCCACCAGGCCAGGGACTTGCCGGCCAGGAAAAAGTCTTTAGCGTTTTTCACCCGGCCAGACAGCCGTACGCCAACAAAGGTAATCAGAATCAGATAGCCGGCGACGATGGCAAAGTCCAATGGATGCATTGGTGCCCCTGATGTTGTTCTTGTTATATTCGCCGATAGTTACATATCCGGCGCACAAGCGCACGGATTGCAAAAGTTGGCCGGCTGCTCTAAAGAGGCGAGGAAGATGTTTCGATCAGTATTGATGGTGTCAATCATCCTGTGGGCTCTAATCGCTGCGGGCGAACCGGCTGCGCCGACTGATGTTAGGGCTGAGGTGTCGGAAACAGCGCCCTCAGGCCTGGAACTCCTGGAGCGATTCAACCAAACAGCGCCAACGCTTGATCCTATCTCTGCTGATGACCCTGCTCGTGAGGCGTTCTTCGAGCAGTGTTATGCGGTTACAACGGAGTGCCTGGTGTACATTCGTCAGCATCGCGCCCTGGCTCAACGGTTATTGCCAAATAATCCTTTGTACTGGCAGAACTACTGGTTAGTGATGGAAAAATTTAAGCCGGATTTCGATCCCCAGGACTTTGTGGCGCGTTCTAATAGTCCTTATGATTATCAGCGTTTGATCCAAGCATCGTGGCAATGGCCGCTCTATCAGTATGCCACGCGTGGCGCTATCGATGTGGACGATACGCTTGAAATGGTGCGGCAGTCCCGCCGTCTGCTCAGCAAGAGTCAGTCGCTGATAGACGGGATGATCGCCACAGCGCTTGTCGGTATCGGCAATAGCACGGCACACTACGTATTGTGGCAGTTGGGTACAGACAACAACCGCAACGCAGCGTTGCAGATTCAACAGCTGTTAGTCGATGAATCCAGCAAAAGCCTGCGCGCAGCTCTTGAATATGAGGTTCTTGTCGCAGAGGGGCTAGCGCGTCGCGCCCCCGATGATGCGTTGTCAATTCTGAACGAAGGCGGAACGCTGGAATCCTTCTTTGCAGAGTATCGTTTGATGATCGACCTGTGGAGTGAGCTGAGTGAGCGCAGTTTTTCTGCATTCTGGTCGCAAGGTGTGGATCTGGCCGGTTCCGGAGCTGTTCAACAACCACTCTTCAGTTTTGGTAAAGACAGTGCCTATGGACCAGCTTTAGAATCTTACGTGGTCACTTTGCAACAGATATGGGTTCATGCCCGCGTCTTTGCAGCTCTCGGTGATATCTATGCCGGTAGGGTAGCGCCTGGTCTGCCCGCGCGCCCGGATCCCAGCCCCTGGCAGTGGGAGTGGCGAGATGATCCAGAACAATTGTGTCTGATACCGGTAGCCGCACACCCCTCCATAACTGTCGCTGAAGCTTGCGTTGAGTACCTGGGTCCCACACCATAGATTGTTTCGTTCACAGCTTGGTAGATAAACAAGCTAAGCGCCTCGGATAAGGAAATTGCCATGAGCATAAAAGTCATCGGTGCAGGATTCGGCCGCACCGGCACCCTCTCACTGAAACACGGATTAGAAATGTTGGGGTTTGATAAGTGCTACCACATGATGGAAGTGTATATGAACCCCACTCATACCCAGATCTGGAAAGATCTGTCGGATGGCATTGAGCCGGACTGGCACGCGCTCTTCGACGGTTATCAGGCGTCTGTAGACTGGCCCTCCTGTAACTTCTGGCGTGAGCAGATGGTCGCGTTCCCAGATGCGAAAGTCATCCTGAGTCGCCGCGACCCTGAAAAGTGGTACACCAGTATCATGAACACAATCTGGCCCAGTTCAAAAGCAGGTGCAGCCAGTGAAGATCCTGCGGGTAAGCTCAGATCGGCCATGGTCTTTGGTTTAATCTGGGACGGCATTTTTGACGGCCGCATGGATGACAAAGACTTTGTCATCAGCCAGTTTGAAAAGCACAATCAACAGGTTATTGATGAAGTGCCCGCTGCAAAGCTGCTGGTTTATGAACCCGGCGACGGATGGGAGCCGCTGTGTGAATTCCTGCAGGTGCTGGTCCCCGAAGTAGAATATCCACGGGTCAATTCAACCGAAGATTTTCGCGCGCAATGGGACAAAATCAGGCAGCAGGCAGATAGTAAATAAATTATTTGAAGATGCTCAATCAGTGATCGTGCAGAGCGATGAACTGGCGTACCGCCTGTAATTCATAACCTGCGTGCAGTTTGCGTTCGTTGTCCAGGGTTTGCAGTCGGGATAGATCAAACCAGTCCAGGTCCAACAGTTCAGTATCGTCGTAATTGGATATTCGATAATCGACGTCGGCACCATAGACCATATGATCATTACCTTTGTAGTGATAGGCGCCGATTTCAGTGAAGTCCGTCATGTAGAGTTCAAGTTCTTCTTCCAGCTCCCGGCGCACTGCGTCTGCCGGTGCTTCACCACGTTCGATATTGCCGCCGGGTAACCCCCATCGTTTGTGGGTGCGCGCCCAGAAGCTGGAATGAATGGCCAGCAAAAACTGATCCTCGAAACGCAGCACGCAGCGCGCGGTCTTATAGCGGCTGCGAAACTTCACAGTGTTGGCGCAGGTCCCACAGCCGTTTCACCGGCAGGTCCTGGTGCTTGCGCCAGATCTCCGCCAAACAGGCTGACTAACACAACCCAGACAAACACAAGCACAAAAGATGCGCCGATGCCGACGACAATGGTTCGCCACATGGGGAAATACTGGCCGCCCATTTCCACGAAACTGGCAAACATCGGTCCTTGCAGTTTGTTGGCAATGGCCAGCACCAGAACGACCTGACCAATCATGATGGCAATGGCAATCGGTGCACTGGCACTTAATTGCCCCGGCAGCAGAACGAAGGCCAGTACCAATACCAGGCTGCCCCACAAACTGTAGATTGCCATGCGGCGCTGGCCCAGGGCGGCGTAGTTGCTCGCCAGCATGTAACCCGCCGCCAGTGAAGAACCCAGAAAGGTGGCTATCCCGATCTGGGTCAGGGAATAAAGCGGCGGTAGTTTTTGTTCTGTCATGGCGTTTCTTTTAGGCGTTCACTGATGGTTGTTGTGTCGGTTCGTACAGGGAAATGAAACTGAAATGCTCCGGTTCAAATGCACCGCCGTATTCCGAGAGTTCAAAAGCCTCAGCGGCTTCTATGCCAGAGCCTGCAAATTTCCTTGCGATACCCTGGGGTCGACGGCTGTACCACTGGCGCAGCCATTGTCGTCGGTTATGCTCAGGTACTTCGATGCCTTGTGTGTAGGGTAACCACTGATAGACCTGGCTTGCATGGCAGTGTAACAGCTCTACTACACCACTGAGTACATCACTGGTATCACAGACCCAATCAGGCTGGAACGGTCGAGGATATTGGAAACGATCGGCGAACATCAGCACCGGCGGGATGTTTTGCAGCACTGGGTATGAGGGCGCGATATTAGGTACCTGCAGAAGATAACAGGCGTCCATGACCAGCTGAGCGCAGGCGCGGTGGTCCGGGTGATAGTCTGCGGTGCGGTGCGTCAGAATAAGGTCTGGTCGGAATGCCCGAATGTCTCCAATGAGCTGTTTGCGCAAGTTTATCGTTGCTTCGAGCTCGCCGTCCCGTACATCCCAGATCACTACTTTAGCGCCCAGTAAGTCGGCTGCGTTGCGGGCCTCTTCCTGGCGGATACTGGCGAGATCTTCGGTGGCTAACTCGTGGTGGCCGGCGGAACCGTCGGTGAGGCATAAAATCAGCAGTTCCTGCTCGGCGCTGGCCCACTTCAGCATGAGGCCACCCGCGTTGAACTCGGCATCGTCAGGGTGTGCCGTGATCACCATTAATCGCTTTTTATCACTAACCGGTTCTGCGGGTGGTGTTGTCATGTGGCGCAAACTGAAGGTTTCTGCTGATAAAACAGCGTGGCTTGTTCGTAGCAATGTGCGAGTTTAAGCAGCGCCAGATCCGCGCGAGGCTTGCCAACAATCTGCAGACCAACAGGCAGGCCTGTTGCGGTAAAACCTGCAGGGACTGAGATGGCTGGTAGTCCCGTTACAGTTACTGCACAACACACCGTCATCCAATCGATATAGGTGGCCATCGGTGTCTCGTTGATCGCCTCGATCCACTCAATGTCTTTGTCAAAAGGTGCAACCTGGGCCGCAGGTAGAATGAGAGCGTCGAAGCTGCTGAAGAATTCAACACAGTCTGCGTATATGCGGGTGCGCCGCAGCTCTGCGGCATAAATGTCGGCGGCGCTTAACGCCAGACCTTTCTCAATGTTCCATACCGCCGTGGACTTCGCCTTGGTTTTCCAATCCGGCATCGTCAGATTCAAAGCGTGTCCCAGGTTTGCCAGCGCTGCTGCGCGCATGACCTGAAACACACCCATCGCCTGATCCAGCGGTGGGTGTGTTTCGATGACCTCTGCGCCAAGATTAGCCATAGTATCTGCAGCTTTTGCTATGACCGCTGCAACGGCAGGTTCAACGGGCGCATCTCCTATGGACGGGCAGTAACCAATGCGCAGCCCGTTCAGATCTTGTCGTGGTTGCAGAGCGTCGAGAAAAACCTCTCCAGGTTCGTTGAGTGTGAGCGGATCTGTGGGGTCTGGACCAGCCTGTACCGAAAACAGCAAGGCAGTGTCTGCCACGTTTGTTGCCATCGGGCCGGTGGTGGTCAGTCTGCCCAGCCAGCCGAATCCGTCACCTTTAGGCGTGCGTCCAATGGAGGGTCGCAGACCAACCACGTTGCAGAAACTGGCCGGGTTGCGTAACGATCCTCCCATATCGCTGCCGTCAGCTAAAACCAGCATGCGCGTGGCCAGAGCCACAGCGGCGCCGCCACTGCTGCCACCGCAGGTCTTGTTCAGGTCATAAGGATTGAGCGTCTGGCCAAATAAACTGTTGAATGTATTTGAACCAAGACCAAATTCCGGCATGTTGGTGTGGCCGATGAATAGAGCGCCGGCGTTGCGCAAGCGCGCAGCCTGGGCATCATCTTTGCGCGCGATTTTCTTAGCCCAGGGCGTAAAGCCTTTGGTGGTTGGGAAACCTGCAACATCAACGGCGTCTTTGGTGGCCATAGGCAGCCCATGTAACGGACCCCGTTCAGCAACGGGGACCGCGTCAGCCTGCTGCGCCAGGGCAAGTGCTTCGTCCGGATCCAGTAGGTTAACTAACGCATTCACCTGTGGATTAATCTCGTTTATGCGTGTGTACGTTTGTTGCATGACGTCCACCGCAGACTGATCGCCGCGTTGCAGGTCTCTGCATAATTTCAGAGCATGGTCTAATGGCATAGAGGTGTCCCTAGGTATGTTCCAGGCGCCACAGTGAAACGGTGAGCGGCTTTTTTATAAACAGGCCACCACCCACGCTTTGAAAGTGGGGGTCAAGGTGTTTACGGTACCAGCGAAAAGAACGTGGCTGCTGCTGCATATCGCTGTGTTCTGTATCAACAATGGGCATATCTTCACTGGTCATCACGCTGAGATATAACGCAGATTGAGAAAGATCAGCCAGATGTTGTATGGCCTGTGCGCAGGCATTTTTATCCAGGTACGCCAGGACGTCGTTACAGACGACCAGGTCTGCAGGTGTTGTATCGACGTCAACCACGGAACCATGTTGCCATCCATATTGTTCGCACAAATAGGTGCTGAACTCAACGCCATGGCATGATGCGTCTGGGAACTCATTTTTGAATTGCTGCAAAAAAGTGCCGATGCCGCAGCCAATATCAACAATGGAAGAAACGTCGACTTCAAGGTATCGCAGATAAGCCGCGACAAAGCTTACCTGGCGTTGTTGTTCCTCAGGTGAAACCGCACGCGTTTTGGGGTTGTGGTAGTAGCGCTGATAGTACGCCGCGTCAAAATTCATCAAATATCCAGCCACAATTGGGCTTGCAATAACTCTGCTGGTGCATAGTGTAGGTGCCTCAACCGATTTTGGCGATGTTTATGAGCCGCTCCACGCAGCTGCAGCCTGCTGCGTCTATTGATATTCCGGTCTTCCTCAGCAGCGTAGCGCTGCTTGTTTCTTTATGCCTGCCGTTGGCACTTTACCCTGAGGAAGGCAAGGTTCTGTTGGGGGATGCGTTTATCTTCCTTACGCAGAATTTTGGTGTCGCCTACATTCTTGCCGGGATTGGCTCACTGGTTTTTCTTCTGGTACTGGCGTTTGGGCGCCATCGTCATATCCTGTTTGCGCGGGATGAAAGCGGGCCTATGTTTTCAACCTTCAGTTGGAGCGCCATGCTGTTCTGCGGTGGTATTGGTACCAGCGTGTTGTTCTGGGGAAGTATTGAATGGGCACATTACTATCTGGCACCACCATTTGGGATGCCATCACAAAGTGCGCAGGCATTACCCTGGGCTACCAGCTATCCGATTTTTCATTGGGGTTTTATAGGCTGGGCATTTTACTGCCTGCCCGGCATAGCCATGGGTTATGCCTACTACATTAAAGGCGCCTCGACGCTGCGGCTCAGTGAAGCCTGTGCTGATGTGATCAAACCGGCCCTGCGCCCCTTTATAGACCCGATTATTGATCTGGTCTTTGTTATAGGTCTTGTCGGAGCCTGTAGTACGGGTATCGGCCTGGCGGTGCCATTAATTGGCACCCTTGTCAGCGATTTGCTGGGCCTCGATCGTCAGGGTCTGGGCTTTACGCTGGACCTGATTGTCATCGGAGCCATTACGATACTGTTTGGCGCCAGTGCCTGGTTAGGCTTGGAAAAAGGCATCAAACGGCTGAGTAATCTGAATGTGTGGCTGGCCATGTTACTGGTTGCCATTGTCCTGGTTGCGGGGCCTACCCTGTTTATTCTTGAACTTGGTGTTGAAACCCTTGGTATGTTGTTGCAGAACTTTGTTCGCATGAGCACCTGGACAGACCCCCAGGCAACGTCCGATTTTGTAGAATCCTGGACCGTTTTTTACTGGGCGTGGTGGTTGGCGCTGGGCCCTTTCATGGGTATTTTTATTGCCAAGATTTCCCGCGGACGCACCATGCAGCAGATCATTCTAGGTTGTCTGGGTTTTGGCACGTTGGGGTGTACCGTGTTTTTTATTGTGCTGGGTAACTACGCTGTTTTTCAGGAGCTGAGCGGTACAGTCGATGTGTTGGGTATGATTGGTGTCGGCAAAGCGCCGGAAGCCATTCTGGCTATTCTACACACGCTGCCGAACGCATCTGCGGTGATTGTTTTGTTTACCGTCGTATGCGTGATATTTGCGGCCACCAGTTACGACTCCGCTTCTTATACCCTGGCCACAACGGTGACTCGAAATCTGCCAGAGAGTGAACATCCCAGTCGTCAACATCGAATTTTCTGGGCCGTGTTGTTAGGCCTGTTACCGATAGTGTTGATAGCGATGGGAGGGCTGCGGCCTCTGCAGTCAGCGGTAACCCTGGCCTCTGTGCCGCTCATGTTTGTGATGGTGTTGATGTGTTGGTCTTTGTGGAAGAATCTGGCCGCGCGACCTGAGTAATATTGGGAGGATCTGACATGTCTGAAATAGCCGCCGCCGCGACGCAAAGCCGCCCTGTAGTCCTGGAATTGCAGAAAAAACTGGGAGAAGAGTGTGTGCTGCTCGATGCAGACGTCACCTCTCGCAGTGCGGGTATCTGGCGTAGCGATACCATAGCCGCTCAGGTACTTGTGCGGCCGCGTAACACCGAAGAAGTCAGTCTTGCTCTATCTGTCTGCCATGCCCACCGCCAAAGTGTTGTGACCCATGGTGGTTTGACCGGGCTGGTTGAAAGTGCGCTGACCAACCCGGAGGATATTGTCCTGTCGCTGGAACGGATGCGCACCATAGAGCAGATCAATCCGCTGGAACGTACGGTCATTGTACAGGCAGGTGTTGTGTTGCAGACGCTGCAGGAAGAAGTTGCTAAACATGGACTTATGTTTCCTCTGGATCTGGGTGGGCGTGGGTCGTGCACTCTGGGAGGTAACCTGTCCACCAATGCGGGGGGGAATCGGGTCATTCGTTATGGTATGACCAGAGATATGGTGCTCGGTCTGGAAGCGGTTCTGGCTGATGGCACTGTCATCAGTTCGATGAATCAGATGATCAAAAACAATGCGGGCTATGATTTGAAGCAGCTGTTTATCGGCAGCGAAGGTACTTTAGGGGTTGTCACCCGGGCGGTGCTGCGTACCCGCCCCCTTGTTACACAACAACCGACCATGTTGGCTGGTGTCAGCAGCTTTGCTCACCTGGTTGAGTTCCTGCAACACATGGATACGGAACTGGCAGGGCATTTATCTGCGTTTGAAGTGATGTGGCAGAATTTTTATGATCTTGTTACAAACCCGCCGGCAAAAAACAGCGCACCTTTGCCGTCAGACTATCCTTATTATGTTCTGGTTGAAGCCATTGGTGCCCAGGATGCGGTCATGCAAAGCGCTCTGGAGTCCGCGTTCACCAAAGGCCTGATCGAAGATGCTGTGCTTGCACAATCTGAGGCCCAGCGGCTGCAGATCTGGGCGTTGCGCGATGATGTTGAACAGGCCTTTCAATACGCTCCGGTCTTTGTTTTTGACGTGTCGTTGCGTATTCCCCTGATGGAAGACTATGTGCAGCAGGTCAATCGTGGACTGGCGGAAAAATTTACCGAGGTGCGTAATTTCACGCTGGGCCACATGGGTGATGGCAATCTGCACTTTGTCGTCAGTGTGGGGGATGGATCGGCACAGGCCCGTCGTAGCGTAGAGCAATGTGTCTATGAGCCGCTGCGTGATATCGGTGGCTCAGTATCTGCTGAACATGGTATTGGGCTGGAAAAGAAACCCTATCTCTCATTCAGCCGCAGCCCGGCTGAAATAGATCTGATGCGAACGTTGAAAAACGCGTTGGATCCCCAGGGTCTGCTCAATCCAGGCAAAGTATTTGATCTGTAACTCCTGCAGCGGACCATAACAGGCGTGTCCTTATGACTGAATTAGATTCCCAGCCCCTGCATTATCAGACCATTGCGCAGATTGTGCGCCAGACTAAAAGTGGCGCGCTCAGTGCAGAAACCCTGACCCAGTACATGCTGGACCGCATCGCGGCACGCGATGGTGCGCTTAAAAGTTACGTCAGAGTTCTGCAGGCGTCCGCGCTGCAACGGGCCCGTGAGCTGGATGATGCTCAGCGTCGTGGCGATCGGCTGGGTGCGCTGCATGGTGTACCTGTTGCCATTAAAGATCTGCTGTTCACCCGGGGCGTGCAGACTGCCAGTGGTACGCAAGTGATGGCTGACTTTATACCCGACTATGATGCAACCGTAGTAAGCCGTCTCCGTGAAGCCGGTGCGGTGATCATTGGTAAAACCCAGTTAACCGAAGGTGCCTTTGGTGTTCATCACCCATCCATCGATCCCCCGAAAAACCCCTGGAATGCCGCCTACTGGCCTGGCGTGTCGTCTTCCGGTTCAGGGGTGGCCGTGGCGGCAGGCCTCGCTTTTGGTGCGTTGGGCTCTGACACCGGCGGCAGCATCCGCTTTCCCAGCGCAAGTTGCGGTCTGGTTGGGTTGAAGCCGACTTATGGCCGGGTCAGCCGGCATGGTGCGTTTGCGCTGGCCCACAGTCTCGATCACATAGGTCCCATGACACGTTCAGTGGAAGACGCTGCGCGCATGTTGGGGGTTATTGCTGGCGCTGATGTTAATGATCCAAGCAGCCTTGATGCGCCTGTGCCGAATTATCTGGACGTATCTGAGTCGATACAGCAAACCGGTCGCATAGGGGTGGACTGGAACTATGTGCGTGAAGGTGTTGCACCGGAAATTGTGGCGACGGTAGAACAGGCCTGTCAGCAGTTTGAGTCTTTAGGCATGCAGATCGAAGAAGTGACGATGCCCTCAGAATATCGGGCGCTGGTTGATGGCTGGGGTATTTCCTGTGCCGTTGAATGCGCGCAAGCGCATGAAGGCTTGTATCCAGCACAGAAGGGGCTCTATGGCCCCGTATTGGCGAATCTGTTAGAGATGGGTAGTGCGGTGGCGGCCAGCGAATACCAGGCGCTGCAGATTCTCAGAGATACATTTCGTGCAAAGCTTGACCGGTTGTTCGAAGACGTTGATGTCATGATTTTCCCCAATATGACGGGGTCAGTCCCAACCGTTGCGCAGATGGATTCTGTGGTGGCCGAGGACGATAGTCGCGCTGCGTTTATCAACTTCACCGCGCCATCGGATTATTCCGGCCATCCAACGCTGACGTTACCTGCGGGCCTTGATCAACAAGGCCTGCCGCTGAGCTTTCAGCTCATGGGGAAATCGCTGATGGAACAGCAGTTGATCAGCTTTGGGTTGGCGTATGAGCGCGTTCGCGGCGCCATGCCGCACCCGCCAGGCTAGTCTTTTGCCGGCATGCCAGTTGGAAAGCCGTCGATACTGACCCGGTTTTTTTCCTGCCAGTAATCTTCAATGCCGCTCTGGCCGCGTTTCTCGGACCACATGCTTAATACCTTTCGCTCTTCCTCAAACGCCATCAAAGGTACGGCATAGCCACAAGATGTTTGTACCATTTCGATATCAACCGAAAAATACTGACGAGCACCGATAGGTGCTGGAATGAGCTGTGTGCAGGTCTCCCATTGGGCGTCATTCGGATGTATGACTGTTGCACTGCCGTATGCCCGCAGAATCTGTGGTGGTCCTTCAAAGGCACACCACATCAGGGTGATGCGGTTGACGTCAAGCAGATGGGCGGCGGTTTCGTTGCCGCTGCCGGTCAGGTTCAGCCACAACAGCCTGTTACCATCAATCACCTTCAGGCTGGTCTGGCCTTTGGGAGATAAATTGACCCGACCATCCCGGGCGGCTGTGGCGACAAAAAACATCGGTTGCTGGTCGATCCACTGGGCCTGTTCATCTGTCAATGCGTTAAACTGCTCCGCCACTTCAATACCTCTAAAATGTTAGTCAGTGCACAGATCTTAAAGCCCTTCGCTTTACAGTGCCATGTAACTACGATCTTGCTCAGGAGGGATCTGACATGTCCAATTTTCGCTGGCTGTTTGTTTTTATTTTTCTGCTGCTGATGGCGCCGGTTTATGCTCATGAACCTATGACCCACAGCTGCACTGTGCCTGTCCGCCCGATAGACGATGGCAATGATCAGCATTGGGCGACATTTCTTGCCCGAATTGATGAGTTTCAAGCGTGTGTGAACGCGTCTATGCAGCGCCATGAAGCAGCAGCACGGGCGCATCAGGACCAGGCGCGGGCTGCGGTGGACTTGTGGAACACGTTTGTCACCACATCGCTGAACGCACCGGAAGACTTTCCCTGGCCGCCAAACCAGCGCGATGTGCCATAGGTGCAGAACATATCCCTAACCCAGCGCGGCTGAACAGAAGCTGAAGCGTTGACTTGCGTTGTGCAGTGACAGGCATGAAGATCAACCTGCCCAGTATTTTGGAGATGATGGATGCGTGGTTCGAATGTGTTGGTTGTTATGTCAGTTCTGTTGCTTGCCGGCGTGCTGCCTTTGGAAAGTGCCCATGCTCAAAGTGTTGCCTCGCGCGTTGATGCGGTAACGGTTTACAACAGTGGTGCAACGGTAACCCGGGTAGCGCAGGTGCCACTGAATGCTGGCCAGCAAACGCTCAGCTTCACAGGATTACCCGCTAATATTGACCAATCCAGGTTTCAACTTGAAATGCTGGCGGACGGCGTCAATCTGGGTCAGATTAAATTTGACATTATTCAGCAGCGTGACGCATTTGACGATGAGGTGAACAGGCTGCAACAACAGATGGATGCCGTTAGCGATAATATGGCAGCCCTCGATGACAGCAGCCAGACGGCTCAGCTGAAGCTTCGCTTTCTGGACGGAATCGCCCAGGGCTATGCTAAAGAAAGCTGGTTCGAGGGTGCTCGCGGAGCCGCCGATATTTCGTCCTGGCGTAGTGCTTTAGGTGTGCTGGACGAGGGCAGCAGTGCTGCCCGCAAGACGTTGCGAGACAACATCAGAAGCCGTCAACAACTCGAACTGGATCTGGCAAAACTGAAGAGCGAGATGCAGACCCTGCGTGGCAAACGCCTGTCTTCTCTGCAGGTGGACGTTTCCCTGGCGGCACAAGCGGCGACCACCGCCACCGTTAAACTGCATTACTTTCAACCTGGTGCGCAATGGTCTCCCAATTACACATCGTACCTGGACAGTGAAAGTAAGCGCCTGCGCATTGTGCAGAAGGCGCTGGTGCAACAGTTCAGCGATGAGCCCTGGAATAATATTGCACTGACCCTGTCCACCAGCGCCCCGAGTGGTAATCTCGTTGCGCCTGCAACACGCAGTCAATTCCTTGATCTTGTCGATCCTGCCCAGGTCAGGGGACAATATACGCCGAGGATGGAAAAACGCGCCATGGCAGACAGCGCGATCGAAGAAGTCATGGTGGCAGCGAGCCTCAATGCCTCACCGCCTGCGCCGACCGTGGGTAACTATGCGGTGTCTTACCGTGTGCCAGGCCGGGTTAACCTGGCTAATCGAACTGACGATGAGCAGAGTTTTGAGCTGGCTGAATTTGCTACGACGGCCAAACTGGTTACCCAGATAGTTCCCCTTTTCAGTAGCGATGCGTTCCTGACGGCCCAGTTCACCTATACAGATCAGCTGCCTTTGTACGCCAGCAACATGATGGTCTACGTTGATCAGGTGTATGTGGGCGAAACCTATCTGCCAACGACGCTAACCGGTGCGGAAGTGACCCTGCCCATGGGTCAGGATCGTCGCGTTGATGTGGTTGTAACCGATCAGGGTGGCAGTTCCGGAGAAAGCGGTTTCATCGGCCGGCAGAAAACTGAACTCACCGACAAGCTGTTTGAGATTACCAATCGGCGCGGCAGCGAGACGGTGGTTGAAGTGTTCGATCGTTATCCGGTCGCGGCCAACGATGATATTGAGGTTACTGTCCCCCGTACTGCAACAGCACCCAGCGAAACTGATTACAAAGATAAACCGGGTGTTATTGTCTGGCGACAGACGCTGGCGGGTAGTGAGACCATACAGATTCGTCACCAGTACGAAGTCAGCTACCCGGCAGCTATGCGCTTGAACCCCCGGGAAGGTTAACGCTCTTCTGACTTCAACCTTCTGGTGTGTGAGACGGACCATCAAGCCGTCTCCACCAGATAAAGTACCAGAACAGGCAGGCCATTAAGATGGCCACCACGTAGGCTGCGATATCTTCAATCGGATTTAATAGGCTGAATAGCTCAATACTGTGCACAGCAATAAATGTCACCACATAAAGAGGAATATACACGGCTGGTTTATGCGCCAGAGCTTTGAACATGAGGATGCTGGCCAGGCCCACGGCAACACAGACAGCAGGCACGATGCCAAGCCAGAACAGGTTATTGGTCACTTCCATAGGCGCGTGATTCAGCCAGGTGACTAACGTCACCTCGCTGAAGCCAACGCTGAGCACCGCAACCACAACTATCCATATCCCGAGTCCAGACGTTTTCATCGCGATTCCTATGTAAAGGTGAACTGTCCCTGGTCAATCACCACGTCGCCGTTTTGATTCAAGGTTTTAAACAGCGCCTGATGGCCGTCGACCCACATGTTGATGGTTAAGGTATCACCCGGAATGACCGGTTTGGAAAACCGACTGTTCATGGCTTTGAAACGTGATGGGTCGCCGTCACACAATGTGTGCAGGAGCGCGCGTCCGGTAACTCCCCAGGTGCACAAGCCATGCAGAATAGGTTTATCAAAACCACCAACAGCGGCAAATGATGGATCTGAATGCAGGGGATTGCGATCACCGGACAAACGATAGGTCAGCGCCTGATCCTCGCGTGTTGTGTATGCCACGCTGTGGTCCGGTGCGCGATCGGGGAATTTGATCTTTTCGCTGGGACCACGTTCACCACCCCAGCCGCCTTCACCCCGGCAGAACAGCATGCTGCGTGTTTTAAACAGCGGTTTACCGGTAGCAACATTTGTGGCGATAGACTCAAACTCAACAACCGCGGCGGAACCTTTGTCCCAGATGGCGGTACATTCGCCGACACTTTCAATTTCGCCTGCTGGCGGAATTTCGTCAAACAGCTCGATACCCTGTTCCCCGTGCACCATCAGCATGGGGTTGAAGCTGCCAATTTTATCAAACGGCACGCCACCACCGCCGATGATGACGGCAAATGTGGGTAACACCTTCTGTTCAACGTCTTTGGTGTTTTCCGTGGTAAAAGCAAGCTCATCGGTGCCAGCGCCTACACCTACCGCGTAAAGCAGGGCATCTTTACTGTCCCACTTGCGGCGGGTTGGCGTGCCTTTGGCACCTACAGCTTCTGGATTAATTGGCATGTGTGTCTCCCTTGATACGTTTCATGTCCTTACCTTAACGAAAAACATAACCGAGCAAAGGTCTTTTTGAAATTGTTAACGAGTCGGTTACCCTGTTGGGCTTAACTTCTGGAGAGAACCCGATGACTGAGATCCACGGCTACTGTGATGAGAAATTTGCACCGGTACGTGAGGCTTTTGAAAAGAACTTCACGGAAAAAGACGATCTTGGCGCCAGCTGTGCCATTACCGTTGAAGGAGAGTTTGTCGTGGACCTCTGGGGCGGCTTCAAAGATGAAGAGAAAACCCAGCCGTGGCAGGAAGACACCATCGTCAACGTGTATTCCACGACAAAAACCATGGCGGCTTTGACCGCCCTGGTATTAGCTGACCGTGGTGAACTGGACCTTTATGCAAAGGTGTCCAGCTACTGGCCGGAGTTTGCGCAGAACGGCAAAGAAAATGTTGAGGTTCGCCACTTCATGAGCCACAGCGCAGGTTTATCCGGCATGGATGAAAAAATGCAGGGTGAGGATGTCTGCGACTGGGAGAAAATGGTCGATGCGCTTGCCCGCCAGGCGCCCTGGTGGGAGCCCGGTACGGCCAGTGGTTATCATGCGTTAACCCAGGGTCATTTGATTGGGGAGGTTGTGCGACGCATCACCGGCAAGACCATCGGCACCTTTTTCAAAGACGAAATTGCCGGTCCGCTCAATGCAGATTTCCATATCGGCATTGGCGAGGAACATTTTGCCCGTATCGGTAATCTGATTCCGCCAAAAGATGATCTGGCGACTCAGGCCGGGGGTGATCCAGACTCTATAGGGGCAAGAACTTTCCGCAATCCTTCTGCCCGAGCGTCCATGTCGCGCACGGCTGCCTGGCGCAAAGCGGAAATTCCTGCGGCTAACGGCCATGGTAATGCGCGCTCGGTAGTGCGTGCGCAAACCCCGGTGGCCAATGGTGGTTCTGCCTTTGGTGTAGAGTTACTGTCACCAGCAGGCGCGGCCCGCGTGTTTGACGAACAAACTAACGGTACTGATCTGGTGCTTGGTGTGCCCACCCGCTTTGGTATGGGTTATGGTTTGACCGGTGATGCCATGCCCATGGGGCCGAATGAGCATATTGCTTACTGGGGGGGTTGGGGCGGCTCAACTATTGTGGTGGATCAGGACGCGCGTATGTGCGCGTCTTACGTGATGAACCGTATGTTTGCGGGTCTGTTAGGCGATACCCGAGGGTTTAATCTGTTGCAGGCCGCCTACACTTCGCTGTGAGCGAACGGCTACGTAGCTAACCCGCTGGCGAATTCAAAGTGTGAGTCTATTGCAGTGCGCCACACTTCCGGGTTTTCGTATTGCGGGCAATGGCCGGCTTTGTCGATAACGACAAGTCGGCTATTGGGCAGTTTCTTGTGCATCAGTTTGGAAGGCCCAACAAAAGGCTTGTCTTTTTCCCCGACAATTATAGAGGTGGGTAACGTCAGTTCGCTCAGTTGCTCTGTTACGGGTATCTGTTCATCAATCGCCAGACCCAGTTGCGCAAAGGCGGCAGGGTCCATCTGCGCCAGTTTGGTGCGAATGCGACGCCAATGTTCGGCCTCTCCCAGATAATCGATGCCGCGCTGGGCGGCGCGACTTTGCGGCTGACCCTGCATGCCGTCCAGTAAAGATTCGCAGCCTTTTGCAGCCACTCTTTCATTGAGCCGGGTTCGAATGTCTTCGGGATACAGCGTCAGGCCATGGGGTGCTGTATCCATAAGGATTGCGGAAGCGAAGCGTGCTGGCGCATCCAGCAGCGCGCGCATTGCCACCATACCACCCAGCGAATGTCCCAACAGATGGCAGCGCTCGATTGCCATGCCATCCAGAAAACGGATCAGATCTGTCGCCGCCTGGTTTAACGAGTACGGTCCCAGGTTACTGCTCTCGCCGTGCCCGCGCTGATCCAGGGCGATGACCCGGTATTGATCGACAAACCAGGGTAGCTGGTCCTGGAAATCGAGTTTAGAGCCGGTGAAGCCGTGCACCAGTACAAAAACCTCGCCTTCGCCAATGTCGTTATATGCCGTCTGCAGACCCAGGCCCATGGTGGTGTCGCTGGCGGGCGGGTGATTGTAAAAACAGGTGGTATGCATGTCGGAACTCTGACCGTTTCAATCGAACTCAAGGATGGCGCGGCCGCTGATCCTGCCGGCCTGCAGCGCGTCGGTGGCTTCATTGATGTCTTCCAGCCGGTATCGGGCGGTGACCATACGCTCGAGGTCCAGCGTGCCGTCGGCATGCCATTTGAGAAAGGTTGGAAAATCCCGGTCCGGCGCACAGGAACCACCAATGCTGCCAATGAAGTGTTTTTCGTTGACCAGGACATCTATGGCGTTCAGTTCCACAGATGTGGTGGGGACGCCAACCAGCACTGCTGTGCCACCGGGACCTGCCCCAAAATGTCCGGCGCGACAGGCAGGTACAATCTGTTCCATGGTTTGTTTGATGCCAATACAGTCGAAGGCAAAGTCCGCACCTGAAACCGGTTGTTTAAAAATGGTGAACTTGCCCTCGCTGGCGGTCATCTCGTGGATGGCCTCAATCGGATCCGTCTGACTTGCATTGATGCCGTGGGTCGCACCAAATGCTTTTGCAAACTCGAGTTTGTCATCGTCCAGATCTACGGCGATGATCGGGTTGGCGCCTGCAACCCGGGCACCGACTACAGCCGATAGACCCACGCCGCCAACGCCGAAGATGACGACACTGTCGCCGGGCTGAACATTGGCGGTATTGATCACCGCGCCTGCGCCAGTCATCACGGCACAGCCGATAATTGCGGTGACGTCTCGGGCGATAGTGGGATCAACTTTCACCACATATTGCTGATCACACAAGGTGTGGTCCGCCCAGGTGAACACGTTCTCTGACACCGCTACGCCGTCGCTGACGTTAAGCGTTGCGGTAACCGGGGGGACATCTGTAGCGGCGGCATTGCGTGGTACCCAGGTCACCAGAACGGTATCACCTTCTTTTACATGGCTGACCTCTGATCCGGTTTTAAGGACAACCCCGGTGGATTCATGTCCGAGGATGACCGGAGAGGTTCTCGGTCGATGCATCTGGTGCAGTTGGGAGTGACAGATACCCGAAGCGTATTGTTTGACGACCACCTGGGTTGGACCAGGGTCCGGTAGATTCAGTTGCTCGATGCGTAATTTAGCCGTGGATTGTGGTAGTACCACCACATTTGCCGGTGTGCTCATGATCCCATTCCCCTGTTGTGAGTCACCAGTTTCCCCCGACTAGGTTTTGAGATCAATCACGTGTACGCTCGCCGCCATGAGTGATGAATATCGTTTGGTTTTTTCGGCAGAGGTGCTGTCTGGCCAACATCCAGCTGTGGTGAAGAAACGCCTGCAGGCGGTCCTCAAGTTGGATGATGGGCGCATGGAAGCCCTGTTTTCAGGCAAGGCGGTTGTGGTGAAAAAGGCCACAGATGAGGCGACCGCGGTGCGCTATCAGATGGCTTTTGAAAAAGCCGGCGCGCGTTTACGTGTATTGCCGGTGGGCGCCGAAGCGGGGTCGGATACCGGCGGTCTGAGCGTATTACCACCGGGCGCAGATGTACTGGCACCTCATGAACGTCCAGCAGTGCCACCGGTCGAGGTTGATACCTCGCATCTATCAGTGCAGGGTGCCGTTTTCCACGTGGATGAACCGCAGGTTGAGCCGGCTGCCCCCAATGTTGATCACCTCACCCTGGCCGAGTTAGGCGTGCAGCTGGGTATGGATGATATTTCCAGAGATGTGGTGGTGGCTGAGATCGATGCCGACTTTGAACTGGCGCAGGTGGGTGAAATTCTCGCTGACCTTGATTCTGAACCTGCACCGCCGCCACCGGACACCACGCATCTTTCGCTAGATGATAAAAAATAGTTAACCCCTGCACAGGATGCTTTATGAAACTGCATGAATCCCCCAGCCCGAATGCCCGTCGTGTGCATATTTTTATGGCGGAAAAAGGCATCGATTGTGAACGGGTGGCGGTGGATATTCGTGGTGGAGAGAACATCAGCGCAGAGTATCTGGCAAAGAATCCGGGTGGCCGCGTGCCGATGCTGGAACTGGATGACGGCACATTCATTGGTGAATCTATTGCGATTTGCCGCTATCTGGAAGGATTGCACCCGCAGCCGTGCCTGTTTGGCGACACCCCCCTGGCCTGCGCGCAAATTGAAATGTGGCAGCGTCGTGTTGAACTGAATTTACTGATGGACGTAGCCGGTGCGTTCCGAAACCTTTCCGGTGTGTTCAAAGACCGCGAAACCTGTGTAAAGGAGTGGGGTGAGGTGTGTGCTCTGAAAATTCCCAAGACCCTGACCATGTTTGACGATCAACTGGCTGAGCGCACCTATCTGGCGGGTGACGATTTCAGTGTTGCGGACATCACGCTGATTGTGACGTTGGACTTTGCCAAGCGGGTCAAAGTAGCCACGCTGCCAGATCTGCCTAACATTGCACGCTGGACTGAACTGGTTAACTCGCGGCCAAGTATCAGTTCAACCTAGACCTGTGATTGTATACCCGCTCTAACCCACGGTAACGCTGAGGGTCTCGTAGCCCGCAGCCTGCATCGCCTGGGCAACCGCATCGGGGTTATCCGGACACAGTGCGATCATAGACCCGCCACCCCCGCCGCCGGTGAGTTTTGCACCCAATGCCCCGTTGGCACGCGCAATATGAATGAGTTCTTCAAGTTCCGGCGTCGACAGCTGCAGAGCATTGAGATAACCATGGCAGAGGTTCATCAGGTCGCCGAGATCCCCTAATTTACCTTGCTCCAGTGCTTGTTCAGCGGCTTCGGTCAGCGATCCAATCTGATCAAAAATACTGTTGTACCGATCTGGGTGTTGCGTCCAGGCGTTGCGCACCTGGGCTACCGTATCAGCCGTTAAGCTCTCCCGGCCGGTGATGCCCACCACCAGTTGCAGGGGCTCCGTCAGGCGCAAGTCGCGGAAAATAGGCTTGCCGTCGACCTGCTGGTAGCGCAGTGGGGTGCCGTAGGTGGCCACGGTATTGTCCACGCCGGAAGGTGTGCCATGTGCGGCCTTCTCACACTCGTACGCCAGCTCATTGATCCGGCTGTTGTCCATGCCGAGATCAAACTGAGCGTCCAACGCGCGCAGAATAGCCACTGCCAGAGCGGAGGAGCCGCCCAATCCCATGGCGCGTGGAATGTGCGGGAATACCTCTATTGTCATGTTTTCCCGGTCAAGATCCAGGTCTTTTAGAATCTTCGCCAGAATACCGCTGAGTCCCTGGGTGTTAGCGTGTACCGGCTGTTCCAGTCCCCAGCGCGGAATAACAATGTTGATACCCTGGCCTTCGCGACGCACCATGGCTTCTACCGCCAGTGGTATCGGCAGTGCGATGGCCGGTCGGCCATAAACAACCGCGTGCTCTCCTAACAGAATAATTTTACCGCATGCGGCGTAGCGCTCGCCCGCCTCAGGCTGGGCTATTCTGCGTGACAGGTTCTTCGCAATTTCCTGGGCTTTCCAGACCTTTATGTCACCGGATTCAATCAGGCCCTCAACAACACTCTCAAAATGTTCATCCGGTACACCCGCACTGCTGGCGACACTGCGAGCGTGCAGATTCATGTGATTCTGTTGTATGCCGTTGGTCGATAGAGCACGCAGGGCGGCAAAATTCTGTGCCAGTCCAATTGTACCCATGATAGAGGCCAGTTCAGTTGCATCGGGTGAACCCAGCAGGCGATGATTGATTTTGACCGACGGATTGCTTTCTAACGATCCGCCTACGGTGCCCACTTTCATAGGTATCTCTATTTCGCCAACCAGCGCGCCTTCTGGATTTTTGTACCAGCGGGTCAGGCCTTTATATCGCCCGCTACGCGCCGCGTAGGCGTGGGCAGCGGCTTCGATGGCGCGCCAGTCGTTGCCGGTGGCGATGGCCACAGCATCGACACCATTCATGATGCCTTTATTATGGGTAGCTGCGCGGTAGGGATCGGCCAGCGCAAGGTCATTGGCGAGGATGATGCCATCGCGAACCTGCTCGCCACTGAAACCTTTGCCTTCCAGATTGGCGGTAGGAATAACCACTTTGGCTGTGGCAATGGCGCGGTCGGTGAGATTCGACAAAATGCGCAGAAAAACTTTGCCACCTGTGAGGCTTTCCACCAGGCCGGCAATACCTTCACACATGGTGTTGACCAGGTTGGCGCCCATGGCATCACAGGTATTCACCAGCAGGTGCAGCACCACCATGTGTCGGCCGTCCTGTTCGGCGTGGTGATGGAATACTTCGATATCCATAGCGCCGCCTCCTCGCGCCACCATTTTCGGGTGCAGACTGTTGGCCAGCGCAAGGATTTCAGCTTTGTGTTCAAGCAAAGTTGCCATGGCCTGTTCCGGGTTGTTGTCTAACACTGCCTGTACCTGGCCGATCAGAATAGGGTCGGTAGCGCTTGCGGTATAACCACCCCCGAGTCTTGCCATACGGGCGGCGCCGGACAAACCCGCAACAATTGAGGGTTCTTCAACCACCAGCGGGATAACATAATCTTTGTTGTTGATCAGAAAGTTCAGTGCCACGCCCATTGGCAGACCAAACACACCAACCACATTTTCGATCATCTTATCGGCGACGTTGACCGTGAGCTGATGCTGGGCAGAGACCAGTTGTGCAACATCTGTAGCACTGAGCAGACCCCGTTCGTGCAGGGCGGCAATTCTTTCACTCACCGGCATACGGAAAAAATTCGGAATTCGAGATGAAATGCCGGATGAAGGCGGTGTGTCAGACTGTTTGGACGCCATGGGGCGCTATCTCCAGGTTGAGCGGAACAAAATTCTGTGCGGCCGCTTGGGTACAAAATTGTTGCAGAGCATCCGGGTCTTCACCCACGGCAATGCCGATATCGCCGCCGCCGGCGCCACAGGGTTTGTAGATAAGATGATGTGCGTGCGCAATTGTAGCTAAGCGTTGGTGTGCAGGGGTGAAAATATTAAGTTGAGCCGCTTTGTCGAGGTTATCCAGGGTATGTGTATAGCTTTGCAGATTGTCCATTGAAGGATTTTGACAAAGCAGGTGGCTGGCCGTAACCAGTTGCTCCAGAGGCGTTGTGTCAGCTTCAGCCTGCCATCGGGCAAAATGGCCCAGAGCAGTATCAGTGGCGGCACTGGCGCCGGTCCATACGGCCTGCCAATGCAGATTTTCAGGCCAGGATAGAGTTTGCACACCATCCCTGTGGAATTGGATATAACCACCCTGCCAACTGGCCGCAACGTCCAGGCCACTGCCTTTACCGTTCTGAAAGGCTCGATGTATCGCAATTGCTTCACTGAGTGTTTTGTCGTGGCCAAGCAGATCCGCCAGGGCGCAATAGGTCGCGGTACATACAGCGGCAGAAGAGCCCAGCCCATATTTTCCTGAGCTGTTGGTCTTGTTTTCAGGCTGATGAAAAAAACGCGCGGTATCACTGACCAGGCTGAATCCCTCAGGCAGGGCGCGCATACCAAAATGACGCAGAACGCTCTCAGCCATGCTTGCGCAGGGCGCATCAGTAAATTGCCCGCTGAAATTATGTACGCCCGGGGTCAGGAAACCTGTACTGACAAAACTCCAGCTGTCTGCTGCGGATGTGATCTCAACTCTTGCGTAGCGGTCAACGGCGGCGACTGCGGCAGGCGCACCCGCCAGCACCGCGTATTCGCCCCATAAAACGATTTTTCCCGGCGCGCGATAGATCAAGATTCAACTATATGCGCTGCGCTGCCCAACCCACAGGTTAAGGTGCGTATCACGCCAGGGACATGGGTGAGTACTTCGCTGACGCGCTCTGCGTGCTGTGGCTCGCATACGGCTTTGACCTGTGGGCCGGCATCTACGGTGAAAAACACCGGCGTGCCCTGTTGTCGTAATTCTCGCACAGCGTCCATACACGCCAGGGTTGCTGGGTTCCAGTAGCTCAGCGTGGGTACGCTGGTCAGCATGACGCTGTGCATTTTCAGGCAACTCAGTTCGGCAATTTCAGCCAGAGCTTCGAAGTCTTTGTTGTTGATGGCGTCGAATGCAGCAGCAAAGTCGTCGCCGGCGCCGCGTAACCAGGTGTTGTAGAAATCTGATGTCAGCCGTGAGCGCTCCATGCCTTCACTGCTGCTGATCAGTTTTCGAGTTTCGTTGGTGATCGCCACCACTGTTTTCAGTGGCCAATGGCTGGCTGGTGCGATCGGCTGGGCACGCCATAAAGGCGGCACCAATGCGACGTAGCCGCCAAACAGCGAGCGTGCGGCGCTGGCAGAGCCGCGTCGAGCCCAGTCCGACATCAGGTCTGCGTCCAAGCCTAATTCCGCATGTTGATTGATTGCGCAGATGAGGGCTGCAAACCCGGAGGCGGAAGAGGCCAGGCCGGCACCGGTAGGGAAGTTGTTACTGGTTTCAATTCTGATGGGTGACAGTTCGAATTCAGCGCGCAGTTCTTCAAGGAAGCGGATGATTTTCTGATCAATCACCCGCTCCTGATTCAGCCACACTTCGTCTTCATGGTGTTCTGTGACAACGGTGTCAGTCGCCAGGCTGTCCAGTGTGATCGACAGATTGGGCGTGGCAGGTAAATTGCCGGCCCTGGTCTGTTTGCCCCAGTATTTGATCAGGGCGATATTCGGATGCGCGCGAGCGTGAATCATGTTGAAAGCGTGTGTCTTTTTTTCTGCTGCAGCTAATCAATATAGTTTGCGGGAGGGACAAACCTAAAACCCATGCGCTCCAGTTCCCGCGCGATGCCTATGGTAATCAGATCATCATATTCCCGGCCCACAATCTGCACGCCTATCGGCAAACCGTCGTTATTCAGGCCGGTAGGGATGACTGTTGATGGCAGGTATGTGACGCCGGTGAGGCCCGCCCAGAAAACCTGCTCGAAGTAGGGCCGTTCCTGATTGTCGACCATTAAAGTGCGTTCGCTGAATTTGCGATGGTCGTGTGGGAACGCAGCGGTTGCCATCATAGGGGTCAGCAGCACGTCATAACTGTTAAAGAACTCATGCCAGTGCCAGCGCAGATGGTGCCGTGCTTCGTTTGCTGCGCCCCACTGCTTGAAGCTGGCTACCTGGGCGCGTAATACTTTGGCGCCCTGACTGTTGTCGTTGGGGCTCAAGCCAGCCACGTAATCTTTCAGGCTGTCGTATTCAGCGTCAGGCATGCGCATCGCCATCGTCGACTGCAGCAGATTCTGATACGTATCGTGACTATGGCCAGGGTCAAAGTCTGGCCGCACATCGGTATGAATGACCGCGCCGGCATCAGCCAGCGCCTGAGCGACCAGATCTACCCGCGCTTCAACTTCTTTGGCCACTGGTGCGTTTTCGTCATTGCGCCAGACGGCTACTTTCAATCCCTTGAGGCTGCGTCCCTGCCACTCGGGCAGATTCAGGGTAAAGCCCCGTTGTTTTATTTCATCAGGTCCGGCCATAGCGCGTAGAGCTGTTTGCAGGTCAGTTGCGGAACGGGCTAACGGACCAATCACTGAAATGTCTGAGCTGGAGCGGACATCACCCGGAGGTGTATGTCCCCGCATCCACAGCAGTTCATAGGTGGGTTTGTGCCCAAAAACGCCACAATAGTGGGCGGGGTTTCTGATGGAGCCACCAATGTCTGATCCTGTTTCGATGCCGGTCAGACCTGCAGCAAGGGCCGCCGCAGAACCTCCGGATGAGCCACCAGGCGTGCGGGTCAGGTCGTAGGGGTTGTTGGTGGTGCCGTAGACGTCGTTGTAACTCTGGAAGTCTGCCAGGGACAGCGGCACATTGGTTTTACCGAAGATGTTCAAGCCGATGGACTTGAGCTTTTTAATAGACTCAGCATCTTCCTCAGGCACATTGTCGCGCCATTCCGGGTTGCCCCAGGTTGTCGGCGTGCCAGCGACGTTATAAGACTCTTTAACCGTCATCGGCACGCCCGCCAGCGGTCCCAGCGTGTCACCGCTGGCAATTGCATGATCTGTCGCTTTGGCAGCTTGCTCCGCCTGGTCACGCATCTCCACAACAATGGCATTAATTTCACCATTGTATTTGTCTACCCGCTGCAGATAGTGATGCAGAAGCTCCTGGGCGGATATTTCTTTGTTTTTGATTTTTTCAGCCAGCTCTGTCGCAGAGCAGAAAGCCATATCGCTCATGGTGTTTCCCAGGGTTCTGTATGGGCCAGACTGTGCAGTGTGGGGTTAATTTTATCAAGTTGTATGCACGATCCCGGGGCCGGTCAAGTGTTGGACTGATCGTTGCTTTTGACGACAATTACGCGCCTGGCGACTAGAATGGCACATCTAAAATATTCACGAGTTAGACATGATCTACTTGCACCATTATCCCGCTTCGCTGTTTTCGGAGAAAATCCGAGCACTTTTAGGCTATTACAACCTGCCTTGGTATTCGGTTGAGATCCCCAGCATCATGCCACGGCCGCTGTTGATGCCTCTGTCGGGTGGATATCGCCGCACGCCAGTGCTGCAGATTGGCGCCAATGTTTACTGTGACAGTAAAATTATCTGCAAAGGTCTGGCTCGGCATGTTGGCGATGACAGCCTTTACAATCAGGGTTTTGCCGCACATCGCACCGCGGATTGGGCGGACAGTCAGCTGTTCAAGGTGGCGGTTGCGTTGAATTTTCGCCCTGAGGCGCTAACCGTGATGATGGGGCAGTTTTCGCCCGAGGAAGCGGCTGCGTTTGCAAAAGATCGCGCTGAGTTGTCGGGTGACCAGCCGATCGCCAGTCTCTCGCCGGCTGCGGCCATGGCGTACCTGAATCATTGTCTGGATGAGCTGGAAACCACTCTGGCTGGCACAGGTAGTTTCCTGTTCGGCACAATTCCGAGCATTGCAGATTTTGCTGTGTTTCATAATCTCTGGTTTCTCAACAATAATCCGGTTAATGCTCCACTGCTGGAGGGGTTCAGCCATATCCAGGCCTGGTTCAAGCGTATTGTCGAGATGGGACACGGCGAACCCAAAGCCAGTGACGGGGAGGCCGCATTGACCGCTGCACGGGATGCGCAGCCGAAGCTGCCGGCTCTTTTGATGCCGAGCAACGTTGCTTATGAAGTCGGCCAGCGGGTCACAGTCACACCGGTCGATTATGGCTGTATTCCCGTTGATGGCACGTTGGTGGCGGCAAGTGCTGAAGAAATTGTGATCGAAAGACCGTTGGATGATTCAACGGTGTTTGTGCATTTTCCGCAGGCGGGCTTTGAGGTGCAGGCTGCCGCCGGCTGATTATTTCTTTCTGGAGTGTGTGGGGTGTGTCTCAAGTTGAGCCTCGAGACGCGCCATCCAGGCTTCAATTTTGTACCGGGTCAATGGAATGTCCATGGCCACAAAGGCGACACCTAACGGAAACATCCAGAATCCCAGTACTGGCAGAAAGCCGAACACGCCGCCGATCATGAAGCCCATGCCGACCAGGCTGCGGACACCGGGTGCAACATGGTCACGACCCCATTTCAGGGTTCGATAGGTGATCACCGTGATTCTCTGTTTGAGCGTCAGCTCACCGTGTTTTGCCACTAAACCATCACTGGTCCGTCACTCGGCGCATCGTGAGTGCCGGGGTGAGCGCGACGCGGTAGATCCGGGTCGATGGACAGGAAACGGTATTGGCCGTCTTCGTGCAATGTACGTTCAATCCTATTGCGGTACATCAGCAGGTGTACGTGGGCAATGGCTTCGCCTAACGCCATCATCATCTGCCGTGGGTCTAATTCGCGCGCAAACAGAACCGGCAACAGATCTTTAGCAATATGCGGTTCAACACAGGCTTCTTCGATGGCCAGCATACGATCGTCGTGGTGACTGATTAAGCCTCGCAATCGCTCACGTACGCCATAAAACGGCAGATTGTGGGCGGGCAGCACCAGGGTGTCAGAAGGCGTTGAGAGAAATCGGTCATGGGAGTCCATCCAGTCTTTCAACGGGTTGGCCTCGGGTTCGGTGGGGTGCACGCTGACGTTGGAGGTGATGATGGGCAGAATCTGGTCGCCGGAGATCATCACTTTAAGGGCGGCACTGTATAAACAGGCATGCTCCGGAGAATGACCCGAACCGACGACAACCTGCCAATCGTTATGACCAATGGTCAACACCTGGCCATTCTGCAGACGTTGATAGCCTGACGGCATCGCAGGCATCGACATGCCTTCAGAGGAGCGCTCGCTCCACATTTTGGCCAGTTGTTCCAGGTAGTCGCTGGGCATGCCAGCGCGCTCGTAAAACTGCTGACCAATCCAGCTTGAGTGGTGCGAGGCGCCGCCGCCTGCAAACGTCCTGGCCTGATAATATTCCGCACGGGTCATATACAAAGGACATCTGAAGTAGTCGGTAATCATTGACGCCTGGCCAATATGATCCGGATGCATGTGTGTGCAGATCACGCCAATAACCGGCCGATTGCCCAATTCCTGGCTGAATATCTGATGCCACAGTTCAGTGACGTTCTCCAGCCCAAGGCCGGTATCAATGACCCACCACCCGTCTTTGTCCTCGAGGAGATACAGGTTGATGTGACTGAGTGAGCCTGGCATGGGCATGCTCAACCAACGTACGCCTGGCGCAACTTCCTGGGTGGTGCCAGGGGCGGGATGGTTGTCCCAGGGGTATTTCAAATTGTCTTTTTCATGCATAGCCGGCGCAGTATAGCCGCATCCCGTCGCTATGGCGCCTCCCTAGTTTGGTTTGCCGAGATCGGGTAGATTCAAAGGTTCTTGAGGAGGAGATCAGTCATGGCGATGAACATCAAACCAATTCCGACCCTGGACAGCGAAGTGAACGATATTCGCATGGCCACCGCGGAAATTGTAAACAACGATATTGTGCCGAACGAAAAACGGCTCTGGGGTTGGCTTGCAGACAGTGCCAATGCCACCAACGAAGTGAAAGCCGAAGCCACCGAGCTGCGCCACGAGATTCAGAGCAAGGTCAAAAATGCCAATCTGTGGGCGCCACACCTGCCCCAGGAGTTTGGCGGCATGGGTATCTCGTTTCTGCAGCATGCCTACATGAACGAAATACTCTCCTACAGCCCCGGCGCAGCCTCGCTGTTTGGCGTGGTTGCGCCCAATTCAGGCAACCAGAAGATTCTGGCCAAATACGGCACACCTGAACAGCACGAGCAATGGTTGAAACCCCTCACTGAAGGCACGATGCAATCGGGTTTTTCTATGACCGAGCCGGACAACCCCGGATCTGATCCGAGGTCTATCAAAACCCAGGCGGTACTGGATGGAGATGAGTGGGTCATCAACGGCCATAAATGGTTTACCTCTAATGGCCATGCCGCAGACTTCTTTATTGTCATGTGTCGTACCGCTGATCCGAACGATCCAAGCGGCGATAAGCAGACCATGACCCAGATCATCGTGCCCAAAGACAGCCCCGGGTTGAAGGTTGTGCGTGGGGTGCCGGTCTGGGGTAAAGCGTCCAGTCATTGTGAAATCATCTACGACAATGTCCGGGTACCTAAAAATAATCAGTTGGGGCGTACCGGCTCCGGCCATCAGGCGGCACAGGATCGTCTGGGTGCAGGGCGGGTTTATCATTGCATGAACTCAATTGGCTCCATGTGGCGTGCGTTTGATCTGATGATTGAGCGCTTAACTACCCGCGAAGTGCACGGTGGTGAAAAGCTGGAGGAAAAACAGTTTATGCAGGGGTTTGTTGCGGAGAGTTATATGGACATTCAGTCCGCTCGACTGATGACGATTCACTGCGCTGAAAAGATGGAAACCGGGGTAGATCCGCGCACGGATATCTCTGCGATAAAAATTTTTGTACCCGCAGCCTATTCTCGGGTGGTCGATCGTGCCATTCAGGTGTGGGGTGCAGCAGGGGTTTCGGGAGATTTGCCATTGGCCGGAATGTATCAGGGCGCGCGCACGCTGCGCCTTGCGGATGGTCCGGATGAGGTGCATAAAATTCTTATCGCTAAACTGATCCTCCGTCGCTATCACGCCGGCGAAACTTGGGATTTTGGCAACTGAACACAAGTGGTAGACTGCCCGAATGACAACACTGCAACGCCCAAAAGATTTTTTCAGCGACGCTGAAATCGAGCAGCTGCGCCAGCACTCACCCTGGCGCTCGGCCTATGCTTTGCTGCATTGCTGGGGGGTGATTGTGGCCACCTGGGTGGTGGTCGGCATCTGGACCAACCCGCTGACGGTTCTGCTGGGGATCTTCATTATTGGGGCACGCCAGCTGGGTTTAGGGGTGTTATCTCATGATGGCGCCCATTTTGCGCTCAGCAGAAATCGCAAGCTCAATGACTGGCTGTCGGAGTGGGTACTGAGTCGTCCGTTTACCAGCGGCACCATCTACGGGTACCGAAAGTATCACTTGCAACACCATGCGTTCACTCAGCAACCTGAAGATCCCGATCTGCATTTATCCAAACCCTTTCCGATCAGCAAGACATCGTTCCGACGCAAAGTCTGGCGTGACCTTTCGGGTCAAACCGGTTGGAAACAGTACGGCGCCATGTTCTCTGATGCGTTTAAAGGTGAAACCACCGGTCAGGCTTTAAAAAATGGTTGGCGCCGCTTTGGTCCTAACATAGTGATTAATCTGTTTATTCTTGCCGGTTTCATCCTTGCGGGAAAATGGTACCTCTACTTTCTGCTGTGGTGGGTGCCGGCGTTGACCTGGAATCGTTTTGTCACCCGGTTGCGTAATATAGGCGAGCACGCGGCCGTACCTGACGATAACGATCGGCTGCGTAACACCCGCACCATAGAAGCCAACTGGCTGGAGCGGGCTTTCATTGCACCTTATGGGGTGAATTACCATCTGGAGCATCACCTTGTGGTCAACGCGCCCTGGTACAACCTTAAACGGGCGCATCAGATGCTGATTGAAAAAGGTTTCCTTGAGCAGATGGAAGTCCAGCCAAATTACAAAGCCATGCTTGCGGTAGCGGTGCCCAGTGATGCTGCGGTATAGATTGGGATAACAGGTTATGCCTAAACTCACCCCGTCTGAACAGATTGAATTTCTGAATGAGCCTGGCGTGCTGATGCGCATCGCCGTGGTGCGTGCAGACGGCAGCCCTCTGGTGACGCCGATCTGGTTCCTTCATGAGGCAGGTTCCATTTACTTTACGCCGCGTGAAAAATCGGCCTGGTTTGCCTGTTTACGTCGCGATCCGCGTGTTTCGTTGTGTATCGACGAACAGCCGCTACCCTACCGGAAAGTTATTGTGGAAGGCGCCGCGGAATTGGTCTTTGATGTAGGTGCAGATGATCAATGGCGCGACTTGTATCAGCGCACCGCACAGAAATATGTCGGCGAACAGGGTGCACAAGCTTATGTGCAGAACACTATTGATCAACCCAGAGGTCTGTTCAAAGTAGTACTCGATAATGCCAAGGTCACCAGCTGGCGCATGCCGCTGGAGACCGAAGACGGTATGGGTATCTGGCACGATCGCTACTACGTGCCAGGCACCCATTTTGAGTGAGCTGTTCCTATACAGTGCTGTTGGAGACGTGAATGAAATGTCCTAAGTGTCCCGGCACTATGCAAACTGAAACCTACGGTCGAAAGATTGCGGTACACCGGTGCGATCAATGTGGTGGTCTGTTCTGCAAACCGGATGTCCTGCTGGAGATGAAGCGCGAGTGGATGTCGGAAATTGTTCTGGATAGCGGCAACAAGAAAATTGGTCAGAAGCACGATGCCCTGGGCGAGATTAACTGTCCCGAATGCGGCATCAGCATGGATCAGACGTTTGACCAGGGTCAGAAACACATCTGGTTTGAAAGCTGTGTGCAGTGTGAAGGCATGTACTTTGATGCCGGAGAGTTTTCTGATCTGAAGTATGAAACTCTCATGGACCGCGTGCGCGATTTTGTCAAAGGCGCACGACCCCAGGTCTAGTCTTCTTCCTCGAACAGGCTGTGAAACGTGCGCGCTTCATTGCTGGTGCGCGCCTCACGAATACAGCGCGCCAGTACCGGAATACCCTGAACGATCTGGTCTTCAGTCAAATGGCCAAACGCCAGGCGCAGATAAGGTTTGTTGCGGTTGGCATAGTGAAAAGCCACGCCGGGTAAATAGGCAACCCCATTGTCTTGGGCCAGTTGCCATAGCTTTGGTCGATCCACATCATCCGGCATGCGTACCCAGACAAACAGACCTCCTGCAGGATTTGACCACACACAAATGTCGTCGAGATGGTTAGCTAATCCGTTCACGGTGAGATCGCGTTTGATTTTGAGCACCGGATTGGTGACAGCGGCGTGAGCACCGATGCCGTCTTTGTAGAATTCTGCTGCAATTGCAGAAGCCAGATAGTTCGAGCCGGCATCATGGCGATGGGCGAGCATTTTCTCCAGCATCGGTGGGCGCGCATAGATGTATCCCAGGCGAAACCCCGGTGCGAGTATCTTTGACAGGGAGCCTAAGTAGATATGTTTTGGATTGTCATCCAATGCAAATAAAGCAGGCTCGATTTCGCCTTCATAATGTACGTCTGCGTAACAGTTATCCTCAACAATGGGAATATCGTATCGCGCAGCAAGCTCGATCATTTCCAGGCGTCGTGCTCTAGGCATGATAAAACCTGTCGGATTCTGATAGGTGCTGATGGCGTAAATGAACTTGGGTCGGCGGCCTTCACTTTCCAGTCGCGCAAGCTCAGCGGCCATGTGATCAATACGCATGCCACCCTCGTCGAGTTTGATGCCTACCATCTCAAGACCAATACCACGGTAGGCACTCAAGGTGCCCGGATAGGAATATTCTTCAACCAGAACCGTGTCACCTTTATTTTCCATCAGGGCCTGGGCGGTTAGTGTCACTGCCTGCATAGATCCGTTGGTGATGATCAGATGCTCGGGATCGACGGTAACACCTTCGCGTTGGCCTTCACGCTGTGCCATCAGTTCACGCAGACGCTGGTGCCCCAGGCCGCCTGGATACCGCGTCAACGCTTCCGCTTCGCGACCAATGGCGACCACTGCTGCAGCCTGGATTGCCTGGGTGGGAAAAGTGCTCGGGTCAGAGCGGCCGGTACCGAAGTCGTAAAGTATTTCAGACATTGCCGTGCGCCAAATTGTTTGAGGTGAGGTAGTTATAGCTTCTTGTTACTGCAGTCATCATGTCGGTATCACACTGGTCGAGTTCAACCACTGCCCACTCCAGCGTGTCCGGGTCTGCGGCTGCAAACAGCGCGGGAATATCCATTTTACCATCGCCGACAGCCACATGACTTAAACCTTTGATTAACGGACCGTCTTTGACGTGGATCAGGGGTACACGTCTGTTAACGCGGGTGATCTCCGCTGCCGGGTTGCACCGGCCGAAGTTAGCTGCCCAATAGCTGTCAATTTCAAATTCCACTTCAGGTACCGCATCCTGCAGGTAGTGATACGCGGGCCTGCCATCAATCAAGTCGTATTCCCAATAATGATTGTGTAGAAACAGCGTGAGACCATGGGGTTTCAGAGCGTCAGCCAGTTCAGCGGTGGTTGCAATGGTCTGCTCAAGGCTGGCCCTGTCTTTGAAATCATCTGGCGCAAAGCCACCTGGTGCACGGGTTAAACCCAGTGCCTGGATAGTCTCAACCACCTCATTAAGGTTCTCGGTGCGATTGGTCCAGGGGAAATGGCTCGAGCTGACCTGCATACCCAGGTCCTGTACCTGACGGCAAAATTCATCTGGCGATTTACCAAACAGGCTGAATGGCTCTACCCCGGCATACCCGGCTTCAGCGAGCTGAGTCAGAACGCCATCGAAGTCCTCCTGACAAGCATCTCGCAAAGTATAAAGTTGCACCGAAATCGGTGGGATATTTGTGCTCATGCTGACCTCCCTTTAGGCTATCGTAGCGTTGTTTGTGGAGGGAGTGTAGGTGCAGAATCGTAAGTTAAGGTTTGGCATGGTCGGCGGTGGGCAAGGGGCGTTTATTGGCCCGGTGCACCGCATGGCGGCTGAACTCGATGGCCACGCAGAATTAGTCTGCGGCGCCTTTGCCTCAGATCCGCAGCGATCACAAACTTCTGGTCAGGAAATATACCGTCTGCCGGCCCAGCGCTGCTATCCAGACTATGCGGCCATGTTTGCACAGGAGCGGGCGCTGCCCGAAGACGTGCGCATGGACTTTGTCGTGATTGTGACCCCTAATCATCTGCATGTCCCCGTCGCGCAGGCGGCCCTTGAAGCAGGTTTTCATGTGGTTTGTGACAAGCCCATGGCCATGCACGCCGATGAGGCCGGGCAACTGGCGGCCCAGGTGCGCAGCACAGACCTGAAGTTTGCGTTAACGCATAATTACACCGGCTATCCGATGATCAGAGAGGCCCGGGATCTGGTGTCCAGCGGTGCGCTGGGTCCTGTGCGGCGTGTCAGCTGTGCTTATCTGCAGGGTTGGCTGGCGCAGGATGTGCAGGACAGCAAACAGGCTCAGTGGCGAACAGATCCCGCCCGGGCAGGTTCGGCTGGGTGTTTTGGAGACATCGGCAGCCACGCAGAAAACCTCTTGAGTTTTGTCAGTGGCTTGGCGATTGAAGCCGTTTGTGCAGACCTTTCAACCTTTGTCGCGGGTCGAAGCCTTGACGACGACGGTAATGTGCTTTTGCGCCTGGGTGATGGTGCGCGCGGCATCATCAGCGCAAGTCAGATAGCAATAGGCAAAGAAAATGATCTCACGCTGCAGCTTTATGGTGAAAAAGGTGGCCTGGAGTGGCGACAGAGTGATGCCAATTCTCTGATTGTTCGCTGGCCTGACAAACCCTATGAGGTGAGGCGCAGTGGCGGACCGGGCACGGGTGCCAATGCCCAGGCGGCAACCCGCATTCCTGCCGGACATCCCGAAGGCTATATTGAGGCGTTTGCGCAGACGTATCGAGACTTCTGTCTGGATCTGCGCGGTTTACCCTTTGATGATTATCCTTCTATTGAGGACGGTTTACGGGGTAACCGGTTTATCGACGCTGTGGTAAAAAGTTCTGCTCAGGATTGCACCTGGGTGAGATTGAACACGATCTAGGAAAAGACACATGCAAACTCTGAAAGGGCCGGCAATTTTTCTGGCCCAGTTTATGGATGATACAGAGCCCTTCAACAGCATCGATCAGATGGCAAAATGGGCGGCGGACATGGGCTTTGTCGGCGTACAGGTACCGATCGGAAATCCGGCGTTCATTGATGTTGCGCTGGCTGCCGAGAGCAAAACCTATTGTGATGAGCTTAAAGGCCGGGTTGAGGCGCAAGGTGTGGTTATCACCGAGTTGTCGACCCATCTGGAAGGGCAGTTGGTAGCGGTTCATCCGGCCTACGACGAATTGTTTGATGGATTTGCCGCTCCACATGTGCGTGGTAATCCTGCAGCCAGAACTCAGTGGGCAATACAACAGGTAACGTTAGCGGCGAAAGCCAGCGCGAACCTGGGCTTGACCGAACAGGTTTCTTTCTCGGGTTCTCTGCTGTGGCCGATGATGTATCCATGGCCTCAGCGTTCACCCGGATTAGTCGAAGAGGGCTTTGCCGAACTTGCGCGCCGCTGGCGGCCGATACTGGATGCCCATGAAGAAGCTGGCGTAAACGTCTGTTACGAAATTCATCCCAGCGAGGATCTGCATGACGGCATAACGTTTGAACGATTCCTCGAAGCGGTAGACGGGCATAGCCGTGCCAATATCCTCTACGATCCCAGCCATTTTCTGTTGCAGCAACTCGACTATCTGAGCTTTATTGATATCTATCATGAGCGCATAAAAATGTTCCATGTCAAAGATGCTGAGTTTAATCCCACCGGACGCAGTGGCATTTACGGGGGGTATCAGGACTGGTTGCAACGGCCAGGAAGATTTCGTTCGTTAGGCGATGGGCAGATTGATTTCAAAGCCATATTTTCCAAGCTGGCCGGCTACGATTACCAGGGCTGGGCGGTGCTGGAATGGGAGTGTTGTCTGAAACATCAGGAAGATGGCGCTCGTGAAGGCGCGGCGTTTATCAGGGACCATATTATTCGCGTTACAGACAAAGCGTTCGACGATTTTGCCGCCAGCGGTACCGATGTTTCAAAAAACAGACGTATCCTCGGGCTGGAGGATTGATGACATGTCTCTAGCCAAACCCTTGAAAGTACTGACGCAGGCACAGCAGCAGAAATACCTGCAGGACGGCTACCTCAGCGTGGAAAGCTTTGTTGATGGCGAATGGCTGAAGCAACTGCAGGCCGTGACCCAGGAATTTGTAGAGGTCAGTCGTCACATTGAAGGGAAAGACGCGCGCTTCGATCTGGAGCCTGATCATAGTGCCGATGCGCCGCGAATCCGACGGCTTAACTCACCGGTGGATCAACACGAAACCTACTGGGCCTTTGCCAGCAGCGGCCCGGTTGTTGATGTTGCGCAGGACCTGCTGGGGCCCAATGTTAAATTCCATCATGCCAAGCTGAACTTCAAGTGGGGTGGCGGTGGTGAAGAAGTGAAGTGGCACCAGGATATACAATTCTGGCCGCATACAAATTACGACGTGCTGACCATTGGTGTTTACCTGGATGACGTTACACCAGAAATGGCACCCATGGGTGTGATTCCGGCTAGTCATAATGGCCCGTTGTTTGATCTTTACGATGAACAAGGCCACTGGACCGGCAATATTCGTGATGCCGATCTGCCAAAAATAGAGGCTGAAAAGGCGGAATATCTGGGTGGCCCTGCGGGTTCGATAACCGTGCACAATTGCCGCAGCGTGCATGGTTCGCCACCTAATTTAAGTGACCGACCCAGGCCATTGTTGCTGATGGCGTACAGCGCTGCAGATGCATTGCCAATTACCAATCTCACCAGCGGCGGCAAACATGCGGAGACTATCGTTCGTGGCGAATCCGCACGTTGGGCCAGGTTTGACCCGCGTCCAGTACTCATGCCCCCGGACTGGTCGAAAAGCGGCTATAAATCGATATTCGAGCACCAGCAGGGCCAATAATCCACCGCTAATTTACGTTTCCTTAACACCAAAAGTGCGCGTAGTGGCTAATGCTACGGTAGACTACCGCCTTTTTGCCCAGAGCTAAGGTGTTAGTGCATGAACCTTGAACGGATCACCGTCGGCGACGACGCGCCAAACGATATCAATGTCATCATTGAAGTGCCGGTGGGTGGTGAACCCATCAAATATGAAATGGACAAAGACTCCGGCGCGCTGGTGGTCGATCGTTTTTTATATACCTCCATGCGCTATCCAGGTAATTACGGCTTTGTCCCCCATACGTTGTCGGACGACGGTGATCCCATTGACGTGCTGGTAGCCAATACCCGCGCGATCACCCCAGGTGCTGTGGTTAATTGCCGGCCGATTGGTGTGCTCATGATGAGAGATGAAGCCGGTCATGATGAGAAAGTTGTGGCCGTACCTTCAACCCGGCTGACCCGTCGTTATGAAAACGTCAAAGACATACACGATCTGCCCCAGATCACATTAGATCAGATAGCCCATTTCTTTGAGCACTACAAAGACCTGGAAGATGGCAAATGGGTTGAAGTTGAACGCTGGGGTGGTGTGGACGATGCCAAACGCCTGATAAAGGAAGCCATAGACCGCTACAGTTAGCCCTGCCTGTCTTATCCGTCAGCCGCGAGGGCTTTGATCAGGCCTCGCGCGCTTGCCCCATCCAGATACTCGCGCAACTCGGTAATCTTTCCGTTGCTCACTGTTGCAACCACACATGCTGCAATCTGCAGGGCACTGCCATCAGGCAAAGTACCACGGACACTGTGTTCTTCGACAAAACCTTCTGCTGTACTGGCGCGAATGGCTTCGGCGTAGTGAAAGTCTTTCACTTTCTGATGCACTGCCTGGTTAAAGCTCAGCAGTGTATCCAGATCCATTGCTGGGCGATGGTTCTGAATGGCTTTCAGATCTGTGCTACACAAGCTTCTGGCGGCATCATCGTCACCGCTTTGAAAGGCCGTAAATAATTTTTCCGCTAGATCCGCATGGCTCATTTTCTGATACACCCCTCATAGACAAGCGGTGAGTATAGCGCTCTGAGAACTGATACCAAGACCAACGTTTCTATATCGCGCTGGATCAAACGTTCTGCGCCATAAGCAGGGGTCGAAGTCGGCAGTTTGTTCAGATACGCTTGAGAGCGCAAGGGAGAACAGTTATGGCCATTCGTATTGACCCTGTCACAGGGTTGAAAATTTTTGATACCCGTGCCGCCAAGGCTACGGAAAAGATATCTGGCAAGGGATACTCGCTGGTTGCTGATGAAGCGCTGAAAACATTGCCGCCGGTACCCGCAGGCGCCGTTTTTGATGCGCAAGAACAGGCCAAATACAAAGCTTTTAAAGAAGCGCGGGCGGGTGCCGCAGACTACATGGCGATGGAAGGTGAGTTCAGTCGCTATCTGGAAGACGTGTACTCAGCTGATCCGGTAGAACGTGAGTCACTCCACGACGAATGTGAAATCGTGGTAGTAGGAGCGGGCTTTGCCGGTCTGTTGTTGTGGTACAAGCTGCGCGAGGCAGGTTTCACGGATGTGCGTTTCTGTGAAAAAGGTGGTGACGTGGGTGGTACCTGGTACTGGAATCGATATCCCGGTATAGCCTGTGATGTTGAGTCTTACAGCTATCTGCCGCTGCTTGAAGAGATGGGCTATGTGCCCTCCATGAAATTTGCCGCCGGCTTTGAAATCATGGAGTACTGCCAGTCCATGGCAGAGAAATTTGGTTTCTATGACAAGTGCCTGTTTCATACCACTGTCGAGCAAACCCAATGGCACGAAGATACCGCGCGCTGGAGTGTGAAAACTGATCGCGGTGACGACATGAAGGCGCGGTTTGTGATTC